CGTAGATGGCAGCAGAGGCTGCGCTCCCCTTGGCCTAGACTGGCCCATCATAAAAGGCATCGCCGGTTGTCTTGGCGCCATTCCTGACTGAGCCACTGGATGAACCGGTGCTGAGGGGCCAGCCTGCATCCTAGACCCCATCTGTACCCTGACGGGCTCCTCCTCCTGCAGCCTTCGGCCAGTGCTGTGCACGGCCCGCCATTCTGTAGCCGCCTCTTGGCTTCCGGGCACATAGATTCTCAGCGCAGTTTGTTGTGCATCGAATAACCCGTGCAGTTTTGCGGGAATTCGCTACAGCGCAGCTACTGGGATCTCGGCCATGTATGGTGCCCGGGCTCCCCATGGGTGGTAGTACCCTTTGTAGTACACACCACCGAATGGGTCATGAAATGCCCTGAGCGTGTCCCAGAACCCATGGGCATCCTGTATCACAGGGGCATGCACCACGGGAGCTGGTCTTTTGGGCATTTCATGGGGCACCTGAGGTCGGCCTTGCTCTTTTTCGAGCTGCTGTGATCGGCGCTGCTGGTATCCTGGACCAGGCTTCCCAGGCAGATACTTGATGCCACTGGGTTTCTGTCCAGAACTGCTCTCACCGGGGGGAGTTCCCTTGGCCTGTCGGCCTGCACATCAAGACTCCTGAAACTGCAGGAACTCAGCGTAATCCTCTTCCCCCATCACAGCCAGCAGCCGGGCAGTCTTATCAGCTTCTGCCCTTGCCTTTTCCAAGGCTGTTTCTTGCCTTTGCACAACAGCATAAACCTCCTTCCTCTCCAAAGGAATAGGTTCTGCCGGCTTTCCTGCTGAACCGAGATACACAACTTCGTCATGTCCAGCAGAATCTCCAATTTCTGCACATGTACGCAAGTGTGTTTTCACAGCAAGGTCACTGGGAGACACTGCATCGGCAATGTTACCTAGAACTGCTCTCTGAGTTCCTTGAGGTTCCTCCCTTGCCTTTCCAGGCTGATCCCTTGCCTTTCCAGGCTTCTTCTTCTCCTTAGAAGATGTGGCCTCCTTGGGGACGCTAGTCTCCTCAACTGGAGGCGGTGCCTTTTCAGGCTTTGGAGGGGCGAATCGAGCGGGGTGGGTAACCCCACTGTCACTTCCACTCGACTCTTCAGCCCATCTGGCCGTCTGCCGTGGCTGGGCCCTCTCAAGCTCAGTGAAAGCTTTCGCTTGCTGGGCCGGATCCAGCTCGTTGGCCACCGGGTTTGCCTCAAGGCGCTGTGCCTTTTGGCTGCCTCCTGCAGCGAAAAACCACCTGATCTCAGCCTTGCGCTATTGTTTGTGAGCTCTCTTCCACTCATATTTTTGCAGATTTAATTGACGATCCCGCTCACGTCGCAAAGCTTTCAGCTCTCTGCGCTGGCTGGCTTTTCGTGCCTTTCGCTCGTCCAACTTCCTCGCAGGAGCGAATCGATCTCGATTTCGCATATGCTGTCTCTCTTTTTCTATTCTATGCACTTGCGCCCGCGTTGACGTATCTCCCGGCAACGGGGAAGCGCATGATGAGAACGACAGCTCTGAGATCTCTTCCCACTGCTCGTGGGGATCATTGGGATCCGGCCTTTCCGGACGTCCCTCGCTCAAATCCCAAGGCTCAGGGATATGTCTGAGCGCGAAGGCCAATTTTTTTGGCCAATTTGGGTCCTCTCTGGCAATTTGATCTGCCATTCCAGGACCATACCACCTCTGGATTCTCACCAATCTCGCAGTGGTTAGCTCTTCTCCAAATCTTTTGGCGGCCATTTGCCAGCCTTCATCCAATTCGTCCACAAGATCACTGTGGAACTTAGTCCACATAGCACGGCATGGTGGCTGCCGGCTGTATGGAGTACCAGGGTCCGGAATGAATTCCAGCACCCTGGCGCTCTCTCCCGGTCCCCACTCCGGTAATACAGGTCTCCGGGGGCTCCAATCATGACCTTTCGGCCTTTTTGGACTAGGTCCACATACAGCGCGAGCGCTTTCTGTGAGCGACTCGCCACTGCTCTGCTCCGGTTCACTAGGTGTCCTTATGTGCACCTGTGACCTGACCCTTGGCTCATGGGTCTCGACCTTCCGGCCTCCGATCTCCGCCATTTGCCCACCGGGCCGGACATTCCGGCGTTTGTTCTCACTTGTCCGAATTTTCGGCACCGTCTCACCTGGCGACGGGCTCTTCCGCTTGGGCCGCTGTTTGCCGACGGTCTTCCAGTCGCCCTCCGCTTCTGGAATCCTCGGCAACGGCTCAGATGGACCAGAGCCCTTTTCGGGCTGTTTCGCCTGCTGAGCGACCTTCTCTTCCGCCTCCTGAGCCTGCAGCTTTTGCTTCAGCAGGCGATCGCTCAACTGGGCGACATGTTGTTCCGCGGCGGTCTTGGCCTCTTCCGCTTGGCGGCTCAGTTTTTTCGCCTTCTTCATGGCAATCTCATTTCTGCGGGTTTCTTTCTTCGCCTTGTCCGCTTCGATTCTGAGGGTGAGGATCTTCTCGGCGGTCTCTTCGTCCCGCTTCGCCCTCACTTGTTGCGCCGCCGTGGCCACCATTTTCTCTAGAAACTCCATGATGCCCGGCGCCTGCAGCAGGGCCGCCACCGTACCCGGTTCTGGCGTCTCCTCTTCTGGGGCTTCTTCTGCCTCGGCCATCGGCTGGTCGTCTCTTTCCGGCTCATCTTGTTGAGACGATGGGCCGGCTATGTCCTTCCGGACTTCTTTCTGTCCCTGCCCATTCCGGGCTGTAACGTCTTCACCGACCGAACTGGTCGGCGTCCCCTTCCGGGGTGTCTCTTCCTCGCCCGACAATTCGGGCGTGCCCTTCCGGGCTTCGGGATCCGTCTCCTCAGCCTCCATAGAGGAGGCCGGGGAAGGGGCCCGGCGTTCTTGGCTCATTCGTCCACCCAGGTAAAAGTGTGGTAGCCACCCCCAGGTGGCTCCGAAACCAAATGATACGTAAAGTTTCTGGGTGTGGGGTTCCTGCCCTCTTTGAGCCGTGGACCCGCCTCGCTGGGCACCTAGGTCCTTACGGGGACCTAGGCGGGACCACCCCTCCTACTCCCGTATCCTAATACCTAAAGCGGTTACCCTGGGATGAAGATAGTTATCTTGGGCAGGGCGTCCCCCACACCAAGGGCCAGTAGTAGGGCGTCCCCCACATCAGGCCGGTGCACGTAACAGAGTCCCGTTTCCAGCGGGGATATAACGCCTTCCTTAGTGTTGGTGCGGTGCACACCTTGGCAATGTCCAAGTGCCCTGGCTAGCGTGCTAGGGCCTCTCTAGTGGAAGCATGGTCGTCCTTGGCCGGACGGCGTGTCCTGCACTCTCTCTGGCCTGTGGCTGATGGCCTCTCCGTGCGGCCCTATCCGAGGTGCACGGCTGCTGCGCTCGAGGAGGCAAAAAGGCTCTAGGATAATTAATCGCTACAACATGGCGTGGCCTGTATGCTCTTACGTCCCACAGTACACAACTCCATTAATATCCATTAAACTCATTTATCTCATTATCTTTAGGGACCTTTGTATAGCCTTGCTCTGCTCGCCCGAGCTCGGCCCCCTGCAGGACTGCGTAAAACATAGTCCCATGAGTAGTTTGCCTAACAATGCACAGAACATTACCACACTCAATATGCGTTTCCTTGTCCACACTATGACTCCCCAGCTCTTGCACCCACGCATCAAGCTTATGCACAAAGATACATAGTTGAATATATTCAAAGAGTGGTGGAAAGTGCTTGGTGGTCCTTTGTTGTCTTGTTCTTTTGGATGGAGCATTCCAGACACTACTCCCAGTGCCCATTATGCGGGCGCGTTGTGGTAATGTGGTAGCAACCCGTTGGTTTCTTGTTCTGCCGAGCGGAGCTTGGCCCGTTGCCAAAGTCGTGGAGGCCGTATGCGGAGCGAAGCGGAGCAGGCCAGAACGACTTCGGCATAAGGGCCGAGCGTAGCGAGGCTTTTAGTCGGAAAAGGGGTTCGGCCAAAATGGACAGGCTTAATGAATATGATGACTTTGATGAGTTTGGCCGCCACATGTAAGAGCGCCTGGCGGCGGCGCCGATTGTAGTTCGATCATTCTAGAAGACCTCGCCTCCCTGCCTCCTCGAGCGCAGCAGCCGCGCGCCTCGGATGGGACCGCACAGAGCGGCCGTCACCCATGGGCCAGAGAGAGCCCGGGATACGCCGTCCGGCCGAGGACGACCACGCTTCCATTGGAGAGGCCCTAGAGCGCGGGCCAGGGTACCTGGACGCAGCCAAGGGGGAACCGCGCCGACACGCGCAATGCGCAATTTCGCCAACCAGTATCTTGCCTGCACAAGTTCCCACTCTAGCTCACGGGGCCACACGGCGAGGGGCTGTGACACCCTTGTCATGTTATTTTGCTTCTTTTCCCGGCTGGCCGTGCAAGCAAAATAGCTCCGTGCACCGTTCCCGCCGCATCGTTTGTTGCCACATTCCGCAGGGTAAACGGGATCCCACTGAATACCCTTGTGCAGAGCTCCCGGGTAATGCAGTACTCTATGTGCAGTTCCTCACATGGAGGGATGTGCCTATCATCTTTCCAACATTTCGACTATATTACGCTCATCTGTCTGACTTCAGTCAACGCAACCTCATTTTCTTGCAATGTTCTATTGATTTTTGCTACACTTTTCTATGCCTATCGTGCATCCACATTGGGGTGTACCTGCCCCTTTATAGCATTATCGAAAAGTGCTTTTCCTATTACTGAAATGGTGGCATACTCGGGCCATCCCATTAAGTGAGGTCATTGGCAATGGTTGTGAAAAAATAGAACGAGTACCATGAAGGCAAAGATGGCTGTTCATTACAGCTCATTTTGCGGTTACTATAACAGGCGCTTGTCGGATGCCACACCAGCTGATCGCCCACTGTGCAGGCCTAAGGTGACCGTCACACTGGCGTCACACATACCCACGGACGGCACAATCCCTGCGAACTGGGTCGCAAACTCTGCCTCGCAGCGTCCCCTGGCCTCCGGAGGAGGCTGCAGCGCGTGCGGGCGCCATGTCCACTCCTACGGTCGCGGTCTGCCCTTCTGGCCGCCTGGCCAGCGTCGCGGCGATCCCGGCGAGGCCCACGTGGCGATCTACCCGCGTTGGCCCCATCCCACGCTGGAGGCCGATCGATGGGATTTGCCAGCGTCAGCCGTCGGTGGTGCCGCGCCGGATGGCGGTGGCGGTGGCCGCTCCGGCGAGGCAGGTGGAGCAGCGGGAGGAGGAGGGAACCGGGGATGAAAAATTCGTGTGGGAGAAGCACTGGTACCCGATTGCGCCGCTGAAGTGGCTGGAGGAGGCGCAGGGGGAGGGGTTCGAGTCCGGGCTGCCACAGATCCAGAGGCAGACGATCCTGGGGAGGGACATCGTGGTGTGGAAGGACGCGGAGGGGGAGTGGCGGGCGGTGGAGGATAGGTGCTCGCACAGGCTCGCGGCCCTATCGCTGGGGAGCGTCCAGAAAGACGGCACCCTGGCGTGCCGCTACCACGGTGCGGTGCTTCCTCATGTTCTTACCTTACCTACCGCATTTCCACCACTTGTTCATTGGCTGGATTGCTTGATACCCCTGTCCTGCCGTAAAGCTATTGGCCGACCGCGACCGATGTTCATGAATGGCATGATATGCATGAATATGTGTGCATTGGCCACCCTGGATTGTGCAAAATAGCTCGCCTGCAGAAGAGCAGCACATGCAACTCCAGGCACGTATAGACACAATTTAACGCCGTTGTATTTCACAGAAATCGATCATAGCAAGTGTTTCTTTGCCCACACTCTCTTTCTTCAGATCAGGTATTCGAACATTCGATGTTAACATGTGTGATGGGAAGGTCGCTTGATTGATACTTGCTTCTGATAATAGGAAATTGTTCAAATATTTCTTGTGGATGCTTTGACATCCTTCAATCTTTACAGCATCAGTATGTCGCCATGGGGTGGAGCTGAAGTGATAGGAGTTCTTGCCCTCCCACAGTCGTCCTGTGGAAATGTTGAGCAGACAGCATTTCGACTGCATCTTTGTGGACCAGTGATGCAGCAACTGCCATTCTACAGCGATTACATGATATTATTATCGACATACAGGAGCCCCAAACTGAACGATGGATACATGCAGCGATTCACAGATATTAAAATGGCTTGGGCACTTGATCCAAGGAATGGATGAATATAGTATTGAAAATATTTGCACTGGAAATAACGAAACTGGGCTGGGTATGGAGAGAGGCATAGCACAGCCAAGCAGTACACAATTTCACAAATGCGGCAAGTGTGGCAGTCATAGCTGGTGCAAAAGATCTTCCCTAAGTGTAGCCACATCTCCTTGCCTTTCAAATCCCATCCCCTATTTCACCCAAGTGGCACGCAGCCTCATGGGAGCCCCTGCTCCACTTTCGATCTGCGCATCGCCAAAGTTCCTACCTGCCCCCTGAGCACTTCTAACTGGCCCGCAGCTGCTGACAGCCGAAGTACCACTTTCCCAATTATCAAGGTATGTGACAGCTGCAAGGTATGCTGCCATGAAGCAAGCATCATGTTGGCGCTGGGGGGCCATTGTTTTGTGGTATGGTTTGGTGGAATGGTTTTGGTGGTATTTGTTGCACTTTGGAGCCAGTGCGTGCAACAAAGGGAGCTCTGCAACCAAACTGGGCCACCAGACTTCCTTTAGTCAAGATGAATTGAACAAGCCCCATCGAGATTTTGGGGATGTTTGCTAATGACGGGCAACTATGGTACACCGCTGTTCGCAGACATATGGCATTAGAAACACTGTTAGGATTGTTGTGCTGTTTGAGGAAGTTTTGCACCGTATTCACCAGGTATTAGTAGGGCCCCCCAGTTAATATCCATCCCCAAACCTCAACAGAAAGGAGCAAAAGGGGGGTTTATTAGATTCGCATGGGTGAGAGGAAGCTACTTTGCACATGTTTGTTTGCATGGTACTCTTGTTGCACGGCTTCAACACACATCAACTGCCAAAAGCTGCTCATCCTGTAGTGCGATGCATGTGATGGCTGCAAGCCTCACATTTTGGGCAGCTAATTTGATGAGGAAAAGTTTTGTTTGCTTGTCGAGCGACTGCAGGCCATCACTCCATTGCACAGTTGCGGGCCTGGAGTTGTCAGCAGACCTGGCGGCATTGCTTGTTCCTGTAACAATTCTAACCATGGCGCTCGCCTCTGCAGCAGTCACACTGCATCCACAACAACAACCACTATTGTAAAGTGCATCCAACCATTTCAACTATGTATCTGCCTGCCATGCGCTATGGGGTCTCCTTCGACCTTGCTTGGCTGTTGGGGGAACACGATGGTTGCTGGCGGCAGTGCCAGGTCGCGCCTGGTGACATGCGTGCCACACGCCCAACCATCACACCTGGTGCTTCTCACAACTAGTCTCCACACAGTCTCGGCCAACATCGCCCAGGCTTGCCTTCGGCTTGACCGGAGGTGCACCAGCCAAGCCACATGGCAGGCCATTGCCCACCCGAAAATGCTGGCGTCTCCCGTCAAAATCGTTAATGATGCAGGAAAGTGCTGATGAGGATTTTGACGGCTTTGCATCAGATGTGGATTTGGACAGCTATTGATTGTGAATGCGTTTCTGCATTTCTGTTTGGATTTAGAGATGGAAATATCAATGTCACTGACAATATGGAGTTGCCAATAGTGTGGTGCCTGGGATTTTGTAACTTTGATTTGGTGATGTCGCTACTGTACACTGCATCTTGCATTATTTCAAGCACATTTGTGGGCATATGACTACCTGCTGTAAAATTTTCTTTGTGTAATCCTTCGATCAGGGGTCTAAACCTCGTTAGTATCCATGACCCACCATTAATATCCACAGCTCATTTTGAGGGTTCAATACATGCCTACTAATACCAGATAAATACAGTAGTGCTTAAACATGAATAGAAGCTATATGATATGGCCTTCGTCAGGGCAGTAAATTACTGTTGCTTCCAACTCCAGCACCCCATCCCTCTTTGAGAGGCTTGTGTATTTGCACACATACCACCACCAATATGTGGGTCAGCCATTGTCTGCCCAATCTGATGGCCATTTTCATTTGCTCCAACAGGTTGGTGCTTCAACGGCCATGGTGAGTGCACACACATCCCTCAGGCCACCGATGCTGCCTCTGAGGCCACAGCCTGTTCCAGCAGCCGCTCCAAAGTCGTGGCTTTCCCCACACTCGAGGCGGGCGGCCTCCTGTGGGTGTGGCCAGATGATTGCCCCACCTCCTGGGTCGACTGTGCCGCAGCCAAACCCCAAATGGGCAAATTCACCAAGCAAGATGCCAATTGGGTAGTCACTGACGTCCCACTCAGCTACAAGGTGATGATGGAAAATGGCTTTGACCCATCGCATGTCAGCCATGCCCACCATGGACAACTTGCCTTTGGTGCAAAGTTCTCGCCAGAAGAAGACTTGACGATCAACGAGTTCAAGCAGACTCGAAAGACAACTGCTGATGGGGGTTTTGAGGTCAGTCACAGTCCCGTGACAGCAGATACCCAGGGGCGAAATGCAGTCGTCGATTTTCACCCCCCAAATCTGATAACCACAGAAGCCCTGATAAAGGGAATACTGAATTTAAAGCTTGGCGTTCATCATGTTCCCATGCGGCCGGGCGTCACGCGAGTGATATTTGCCTTGGACTTTGAAGCCAAAGAAGACAAAGACAAGGCTGCGCTCAAGATAGTGATGGCCATCCAAAAGCTGCAGACTTTCTTCAGAGAGCTGCCCCTGATGCTGTTCCCTGGGTATGTGAGGGGAGCACTGCGACATGTGTGCGGGGGTGGAGTGGGACCGGCCCGTGCGCTCTTACTCCAGGACATAACTTTGATGCATTCTGAAGACGCCCAGCTTGCCAGGTATGACACTGTTGTCCTGCTCACACATCCAGCCAGTTGGCAGTGAGATGTGTCACGTTGTGTGCTGCAGCAATTTCAAACTAGCAGGCTAAAGGAGCAATGCATGAAGGTGCTGTCGTTTCTGCCAATGGAGTGCTGGATGAATGGCAATTCAGAGTTGAGGGTTGGACCCCTCCAAACCGATCACTTGTTGCGGAGGTGGACACTGCTGGCCACAGTCAGCAAGTTGGATTCCCATTTGTGTGCAGACAGGGAGATTTGCTGAGCAGATTGGAGAGGCACACATTCTACTTTTGATGTTTTTGTGACTTGATTGGCAATATTGTGGCAATGCTGACAATCCACTTGCAGTTCATGCCTTCTGGGGAATGGACGTGTGTTGCGGCGCCTGAGGGTGTATATCGCTGACAGTTCTGTGGCTTCAGATCCAAAGCTGAGTGGGCGAATCAATACTATCTTGCATCCGCATCAGACAATGGCGTGGCAGCCTTTCGAAAATGGCTGCACACGCTTGCTGGTGGAGGGCCAACCTGGTTCAGCAGGGGAACAGAAGAGGAGGCCATGACAGGCAAGAAAGCAGAGGTGTACGATGCATGGAATCGCCACAGTAGGCGATGTCCAGAGTGCCGAAAGGCACTGAAGTTTTTGGGAGGCCTGGAGAATCTTATGAGAGAAATGGCTGTGGGCCTGCTGGGCGTGGCAGTGGCTTTGGCTGTGTCCAGGTGAGCGTCACATGTATGCAGTCTGGCATTCAGGCAAACAGCATAAGACACCGAAAACGCCACTTGTTGTATGTGGGTATGTATATGGATCAGATATTTGCTTCAAATATATTTTTTGTACTGGCAAATCAGTGTCCAGTGAACCCACCACCAGAGGACCAGCATATGGCATTGTTACCTGTGAGCCACCTCCTATCAATGGTAAGCGATAGCCCCAGCAAAAGATTTATGTCAACATGATTTGGTTCATTCCATGCACACTCCACGGCCGATGAACGTTTGGGGGCAGTGCACCACAGAACATATCGGCTAGCATTAACCTGTTCTTTACACAATGTATCCAAAAAATTGCTGATCAAGGTCTTGTCTTTTCCTCAATTGCAGGATAGTGGATGTCCGCATGGCCGTGTTCGCCATAGTCGCTGCTGGGGCAGCACTCCTGGCCTGCCTCGAGGCGCAGAAACTCTCCCACAAACTTGTGACAGACCTGCCCAGCTCTGGTATGCCAGAGTTCTCTTATCAGTGGCCATCTTGAGACATGGTCAATCGGGTGCAAAGACTTGACCGCAAACTGCATTGCCATCATGGGCAAAACACTGAGCTGTGCATATCAGAGCCTGTTCTGTGCACCTTGCTTCCTGTGCAACAGCGTGTTCGAGAAACAGCTGTCGGTTAAAGAAATCGTTTTGTAAAGAGGCGCAGGCAGATTCTGTGAAGGACGACTGTACGGTATCACAGTCCCGGTATTTTAGGTACACCTTGCTGCCCAGGGCCACGGGGCCCAAGGGTAGCACAAGGGGCAGGTCGTTCAGTTGTGGGGCGAGGGAATGTTGCGATCTGGAAGCCGACAACAAGACCCCAATCGATGGTGGATTCCTTGGTGAGGAAGGCGAAGCCAACAATCGTGCGATGCATTCTGGCGATGGTGGGGATTTCCATCGCTGAAAAGTATTAGGTTGTGCGCGTCTCCGTGGAGGGTCTCGAGGTGTGCTCCAGGGGGGCCCACGGGAGGGGTGCGGATATCGCTGTCATAGCTGTGGCGGTCGGTGCCCCCTTGCGCCTGAGGCGCATCTGCCGTTGCGATGCCATATCATCGTAGCAGCTGGGGCCGATGGTCGCAGCGGCGATGGGTCATGTCCCAAAACTCAGTGGTCGAATTTGGAGCCCCTGGCAAGGGCTCCCGCAGGGGCGTGGAGCTGCTCCATTTCCCTGAAACACATTCTACTGGGATAGCCAACCTCACTGCGATGGTGGTACGGAATGCAATCACACCCCCCTCAAGGCGAGGTGTGCAGGGCCCTTGACACAGGAGTGAATTTAGGTAGTTACTGCACAGAACAGAGGTGTGGGTCCTACCTGGGCTGGCGGCAGAGCTTAACCTCGACCATTTGGTGGAGGATGGACCTCCGCCATCGTGACCACAGCGGTTGGCATGTGACAATCAAGTGCCAAAGTTGTGGAATGCGATCCTTGGTCCTCGTGTCAATCGAATGTGGCTGTGGCGATGGCTTGCAAACCAAACGTGCGGGTAGAACCGGGTTCCCAATAAGGTCTGCCGGGTCGCATGGCGTGAGCAAACTCACGTGGCAGTGCTGGGCTCCCCTCGCCACAGCCACAGTGGGGAAGGCCACAGCAATCAAAGAAACAGGATAATGGAGAACACCATAACAAAGAACGTGAGCATATCGACGGGGAATGAAGCCATCAATGGCGCAGCAGCCCAGCCCAGCCTGCCCACCGAGCGAGTGGGCTTTGAATGGATACCATAGGAACGAAAAAGTGCAGAACGTCGGGCCAAAGGCCCAACTTCTGGACTGGTCACGTATACCCTTGAACTACCTTGTTGCAAGGAACAATGATCCCCCATTGCAGCCAGGGGGTATGAAACAAACGAGAAGTTCGTCTGTCCCCTGTCGCGTGTTGGTGAGAAACGGCACTTGAAGCAACACCAAAACAGCCCAGAAAACGAAGGCAATGGCACCAACAGGCTGCGCACACACTTGCGCCTCTTGGCGCTTCGTATCAACCCACAACCGTGTGTTGCATGCGTCCGTCCGTTCACATCAACGCCGTCCAGCGAAGCCCAGCCTTCGGCCCCGCGCACAGCCCCGCTTCCACGTTCAGCTCAGGGCTCATATGCCCTCTAATTAATGAAATGCTATGGTACTTTCAAAAAGAGCTGCACATATTCGTAGCTCGCACACCCTTTCACACTGAATCACCCGAGGCTGCAAACCATGTCACATCCGCGGCCTAAACACATCACCTTTAGACACCATGACACCAGGCAGTACTCCCCTCTGACCTTACCCTTACATACCCTTTATCAGAACGCACCACATGGCATGGGCGCTGCATTGCCGCCGTTGACCGCGCTCGGCTCCTTGCCGCCCCCTCAATGTGAAAATGACACTTCGTTTTCATATTCAGCACTTGTCAGCGAATCGTATATTCTATCAGATATTCGAAATGCTGCCACTCTTCACACCAGCTAGGTCACATTGCCCCACATCAGGTCATGTCAATTTACATTCAATATAATCCATTTACACGCCGTTTGCGCCCTTCTCACATGGCGCAGCTGTGTGCGCGGCATGGCCATGTCAATCGCCATGCCGCGGAGCTTGGAGTCGCGGGTGCCTCTCAGCGCCTGAATGCGCAGGCTGAGCATGAATCACGACAGGTTTGCAACCTCCCTGAAGCCATTTTCGAACTTCCGCCTTTGTTTCATCCCTTCTTTTCAGCTCGCTTATCGCTCTCTCATGACGATTGAAAGCCGCCATAGATTGTAAGACTCGTCACGGTGTCGGTCTTTCCCAGATGCTGCGGAGGATGTTGTAATCAGCCAGGTCGACACCAGCCATGCGTGCATATCGTTTCTGGTATACGGTCGATGCTGAGACTGGCCCTATTGCAGTCTTGTGAGCTGCGTGTCGAGATCCTGAACGTTGGGTGTCATCGCTGTAGATTCCTGGGGTCATTCTTTGACGCTTCTGATCCATTCTGGTCCTCACGGGGAGCCAGCTGTGCGTCCGACGAATAAGCTATTATGTTCGATAATGTGCTGTCATTATTGGCGACCCGAACACTTGTCTAGATGCAGTTGGCGCTGTTGGAGTGCATTTGCGTCGTTCCTGACCCATTTCTGCTCTTCCAAGTCTAAATCTTCAAACTTTCGTGGTACGCTCCTTGGATCAAAGGTCCAGACCGTGCTGGTATTCATGGCCCGGTGGTAGTATCCATCGCCTCGCCTGGGGCTGCTCTCCACGGATATACTAACGCCGGCTAGTTTAAGGCACGCCAACCTTCTTGACGACGTTATGACTGCCTGGTTCGGCTGCAGTACCCCGCCGGAGCCGGGGGGCGCAGGCTCTCAATCCGCTCACGCTGACGTCAGCGACCTCATTTCATTCGACACACCCCCGAACTGCCCATTATTGGCCAGATGCGAGCGGCCAACTGATTGGGCGCGGCACAGGCCCCAAGGCGCGAGTCACACTTGCGTCACACAACCCTGGGGCTACTTCCTTCCCAGAGCGGTGGGCCGCATGTAGCGCCTCTCAACGTTATGGCGACAGGACGCGAGGCCGGCCTCGCGGGAGGTTGCAACTTGGGCGGCCGCCGTGTCCTCTCCCGCAATTGTGGCCCGGCATCGCGGCGGCCTGGATCGCGCCACGTGTCGCCCGGCGAGGCCTCCACGGCGATCTGCCTGCCATGGCCCCATCGCCCGCTGGAGGCTGAAGGGATGCGCCGACGTCAGCCATCGGTGCCACGGCGGATGGCGACGGTGGCGGTGGCCGCTCCAGCGAGACAGGCGGAGCCGCGGGGAGAACAGGCGGTCGGGGATGAGAAATTCGTGTGGGTGAAGCACTGGTACCCGATCGCGCCGCTGAAGTGGCTGGAGGCGGCCCGGGGGGAGGGGTTCGAGTCCGGGCTGCCGCAGATCCAGAGGCAGACGATCCTGGGGAGGGACATCGTGCTGTGGAAGGACGCGGAGGGGAAATGGCGGGCCGTGGAGGATCGATGCTCGCACAGGCTTGCGGCTCTGTCGTTGGGGAGCGTCCGGGAAGACGGCACGCTGGCGTGTCGCTACCATGGTGCGGTGCTTCATCATGTTTCGAAACAAGTGATTCAAATATGATTTCACACAAAACGCTCGTGGCAAGTGTTTTTTTGCCACACACTATCTTGCTTCAGATCTGCAGCTCCTACGTCTGGTGCTAACGTATCGCGTGGTGGTAAGGTCGTTAGATTCATACTTGCTTCGGATAAATGGAAATTGTCGAAACAGACCGTGCGGGCGCTTTGGCATCTTTCGATCGTTGCAGCGTCAGTGTGGGTACCACGGAAATGGAGGTAAAGCGATAGATCTTCTTGCCCCTTAGCAGTACTCCTGTAATATTGTTGAGTGTCAGCATGGTTTGGACCCTTGGTCCGAGGAGTGGATTGATAAATATTAGGTGTTCCCTGGAAATGGCAGAAAGGGGTGGAAATAATGACAGAAATATTGCACAGGCAAAAAGTAGTGCTTGTTGCAAACGCAGCAAGCCTGGCAGCAATGGCCAGGGCCAAAGATCTTCCCAAAGTGTAGCTGCAGCTCCTTGCTCTCAAATATCATCCCCCCATTCACCTAAGTTGCATGCGGCCGCCCTGCTGCTCTCAACATCCCACACTGTCTCCCTCTGCCCCGAGTTGCCCGCCCCATTCTTGGGTGAAGCCTGGCTGGGCTACAAACTGCGCAACAACGCTGTTCCTGGCGTTCCCTTGAGCATTCTTGACTGGCCCACAACTGCTAACAACTGAAGCGCCTCCTTCCCCATTGCTGTACTTTGGGGCAAGTGCAGGCAACAATAGGGACTGTGCAAGCAAAGTTGTGCAAGTGGCTTCCTCTTGTCAAGTTGAATACAACAAGCACCAGGAAGAGTTTGCCGATGGACATTGATACCGCGGAATGGATGCTATTGTGGTGTGGCCCCCCACAGGGAGTACACGGGGAATACCAATACCAGGCTACTACTCTGGGCGGTACTATTACCTTCATAGTAACAGCGAGGATGCTAACACCAGGCGATTACTGTATGCCACAATTAGTGGTCCAAATGGCATTAGAAATTCTATTAAAATTACTGTGCTGTTTGAAGAAGTTTGTTGTCACTTAAACACAAATAGAAACTGCATGGTTGGGTATTCCTGAGGCCGGTAAGTTCCTGGATCCCCCCCTCGCCCAACCCTCACCCCTCTCTGAGGAGCCTGTGGAGTTTCACATATCCTGCCAACAATACGCGGGCCAGCCAATGCATGCCCAATCTGATGGCCATTTCCATTTGCTCTTGCAGGCTGGTGCTTCAACGGCCACGGCGAGTGCACCCACATCCCTCAGGCCACTGACGCTACCTCCGAGGCCACTGCCTGCGCCAGCAGTCGCTCAAAGGTCGCAGCTTTCCCCACGCTCGAGGCAGCTGGCCTCCTGTGGGTGTGGCCCGATGATGGCCCCACCTCCTGGGTGGACTCTGCTGCAGCAGAACCCGCAATGGGCAGTTTCACAAAGCCAGATGCCGATTGGATGCTTTCTGATGCCCCAGTCAGCTACGACGTCCTGTTTGAAAATAGCTTTGACCCATCTCACACCAGCCATACGCACAATGGACAAGGTATCTATGGGGCAAGACTCTCACCCGAATATGGCCTAAATATCAGCGAGTTCAAGCAGACTCGAAAGACAAGCACTGATGGGGGCTTCAAGTTAAGTCACAGTCCCGTGACAGCAGATCTCCAGGGAGAAAACACTCTCCTCGATTTTCACCCCCCAACGCTGGTAACCACAGAAGCCCTGATAAAGGGAATACTGAATTTGAAGGTTGCCGTTCACCTCGTCCCCCTGCGGCCAGGCGTCACCCGAGGGATATATGCGATGGACCTTGAAGCCAAAAAGGGAAAAAGCAAGGCTGCGCTCATGGCATTAAAGGCCTTCCAAATACTGCAGACTTTCATTGGAGAGCTGCCTCTGATGTTGTTTCCTGACTACGTGAGGGTGGCGCTGCGACATGTGTGCGGGGGTGGAGTGGTCCCAAGCCGTGTGTTCCAGATCCAGGACATAACCATGATCCATAATCAGGAAGGCCGGCTCGCCAGGTGTGGCACTGTTGTCCTGCTTGTGCATCCAACCTGTTGGCTGCAAAAGGTGCCAAGTTGTATTGCAGCTGGCTCAAAGTAGCGGGCTAGCCAATGCTGCCAATGGAGTGCAGTGTGAAGTACAAATCTGCCAGAGTTGAGTGTTGAGTTGCTGCAAAACATTCACTGAAGGGGACACGGCCAGCTTCAGTAACTGAGATCGAATCAAAGTTGTGGATACACAGAGATTTGCTGGTGCGAATTGGAGATGCACACTTTCTAGTTTTGATGTTCCCTGTATAATTAGTGATTAGCAATATTGGCAACGCACATCAGTTCCAAGGCCTTGGGGGGACAGATGTGTGCTGTGGTGCCTGAGGGTGCACATTGCTGACAGTTTGTGGCTTCAGGTCAAAATCTGAGTGGAAGAGTCAGTATTACCATGCGTCTCCATCGGACAATGGAGTGGCGATCTTTCGAAAATGGTTGCACACGATTGCTGGCGGAGGGCCCACCTGGTTTGGCAGGGGGGCAGAAGAGGAGGTGATGGCAAACAACAAAGCAGAGGTGTATGATACATGGAATCGCCACACCAGGCAATGTCCAGAGTGCCGAAAGGCGCTGAGATTTCTTGGTCGCCTGGATAACTTTTTGGGCAAGCTGGCAGCGGGCATGCTGGCTGTGGCAGTGGCTTTGGCTGTGTTCAGGTGAGTGTAATGCACATGCAGTCTGGCATTCAAGGTATCAACATGGCACACCAAATTGGCTGCTTCTTGTGATTGGGCATGTTGTGTGGGAGGAAGTAATTTGCTTCAAATCTGTTTCTTGAAATTGGCAACCGATGTCCTGGGCATTCAATACTGTGGAATTAGCGTATTGCATTGTTGCCCATGAGCGCTTACTGTCATTGGCGTGAGATGTCCCCAGCAAGGAGCTTATGTCAACGTGTTTTTTTCCACGCACGCCCCATGGCCGATGAACGTTTTGGGGCAGTATAGAACAAAGCTTGTCTTCCAGCACTGACCGACTTCCACCCAGTTCCTAAGAAATTTTGTTGATCATGGCCTCTTTCTTCCACAATTGCAGGACGGCAAATCTGCGCATGGCTGTGGTCGCGACGTTGGCCGCTGGGGGGGCGCTACTGGCCCGCCTTGAGATGCAGAAGCTCCGCCAGAAGTTTGTGACAGAACTGCCCAGTTCTGGCATGCCGGAGTTCTCTTATCAGTGGCCTTCTTGAGACACTGTCATTTGTATGGCAGCTGCATCGGCTGGCTGTGGCAGAATTCGAACGACGAGCGAATTGCCATCATGGCCGGCAAACGGAGCGGCGCATATCAGAGCGCTGCGCCCATCGCTCCATGTATGACGGTGTGTTCGAAAAACGGCCGTCGATTAAGAGATTCACTTCATGAAGAAGCGTGGCCAGCCATTGCAATTGACAGCTGTATATGCTCACCCAGGGGACAAGGTATCGCCGTGTAGTCAAACGACGTGGATGGCCCATATGACAAGTCGATGGCAATCAGTTTCTGATTCCGTTTGCAGCATGTGAAGAGATGTAGTTGATGCCTTTTTCCTTGGCAGGACATCACTCGCCCAATTCGCCTGTTGAGGCGACATGATACATGAGCTGCATGGACAGTGATTGTGGATGCGCGTCGCAGCCGCATCGCGGGTGAAGTGGAGACCCCCCGTGCATGCGTCATTTGATTCATAATCAGATAGATGTACGTCAGGGCGTGTCTGCATGCAACCACTGCTGCCCAACTTGTGCTCAACCTTCCCATGTCGTGTGCGAGCCTTCAAAATTCGCTCAACGCCTCCGCGCTCAATTGCAGCCCATCAGCACATTTTTCTGCGTGCGAACATTAATTTCGCAGAGTTTGTGTTCCAAACCCGACAATTTGCGCCTTTCACCATCCGTCGTAGGCACACAGCTCTTGAAATCCCCTCCGATGCCACCCATTCAACATCTCCCCGAACTGCCTTCATGCTAACGAAATCGAGCCCCTCGCCAGACAGCACACCTTGTGTGGTTCGGTCCTTCCATTTAGCTGCCCTCCACTTGCCCACAGGTAAGTTTGCACGTCATATTGCTCACAACCACCCACATTGACGCAATCACGGAGCCACCAGCACGCCCATATTCTTTGACTCGGTAGCTACCAAACCAAGGTGTCTGGCCTCCGTTTGTATTGCGCTGCCGTGTATGCGTTGCGGGGAGCTAGTACTGCCGGCCGAGCCTGCTGACGCAGAGATACGCGAAGCCGCTGAGCTTTGCCAACAGACAAGGAAAGCAACCTACAAAGTGCAAATGGGAGTGCATGCATTGCGCTGCCAAGAATAGGGCAGCCACTGAATTGGTGGTTGGTTGGCACATTTGCGCTGATTGAAAATGCAGAAGTACTGTCGCAAGCTTGATTTTTTCACACTTTCAGAGAGCATTTTCGGACAAAATCGGTAAGTTGGGCACAGAATGTGGAAAGATGGCAACCGAACTGATGTTTGGGCGCTATCTGAACATTGCATGAATGTTTGGGTGCTAATGAACATTACATTTCAGTACCTGTCCCCGGTCAGCCTATAGGCCGACAGAATGTACGCCCCGGCCATTTCATGGGGTGGGCATGACATGGCAAGGGATATCAAAATAATGGGATGACACCCAGGTTGAAGAAGCGTGCTGCCCCTGGTGATCACAGTAGCATTCCAAGTGCGACAATAACAAATGAATTGCACACTGCCCTGTTTTGTTACACTGAATTGGCATGGCAAGGCTGATAAGAGTGATTTGATATACTGATATGGCGCCCATATCATATTCGATGTCCAGGATATCGGGCTCCCCTATGTCCTATTCCGTATCCAGGACATGGGACTTTTTGCCGACCTTCAATACAACGTGCAGGGTATGCACGGAAGCACCCCCAGCTCCTGGTTACATAAACGCTGGCGTTGAGGCATCCATGACAGTGGACGTTGGACCCGCCATAGAATGATGTGCAAGGGCTGTTTGCAAGCCCATGGAATTTGGCGCGGAGGCAAGGCTGGCGCTTCTACCCGGGAGAACAGCCGTCATCAATCGCACATCATCATGTGCCGCCAATCTGGTGCAAGCATGTGCTGAGCTTGCAAGGAAAAACCTCGTCCCTACCACTTGAAACTCCAGCATCACTCCTCCCTGCCACGCCACGGCACCATGCGCTATGCGCCTCCCACTGCAAGAGGCAAACATGATGAACTGGTCCGTCACGTTGTTTGGGCAAGCAACTGTTGATTTCTGCAGTGCTTTACGCGGGTCATTGTGCAATATTGTCTTAGTGAGTCTAACACTTTTGCAGTACAATTTGCGTCATTTCTGGATCATTCTGGGCATTCTGTTTTTGCCATTCTTGCCCTTTCAATATTGGATATTCTAAATTGTCGTGGTAAGCTCCTTGGATCAAAGGTCCAAGCCATGCTAGTGTCCATGACACAGTGTCGGCATTCATAGCGTCGACTGGAACTGCTTCATCCCTGTGGACACTAACACCGGCGCTGTCTGGTTTGATGCACTCTGGAGTTCTTGATGATAATGGCTGCCAGATTTTGTTGCATTTCCCTGCCCAATTCAGAGGCGCATGGCGCTCAATGCGGCCACGTTGACATCAACGACAGCGTGTCATTTGATGCGCTAGCCATACCTCAACATTGCCAGGTGTCGGGTTTATATTTAATTCTGTGCGGCTGAGACACTATGTTCGTCTCAGCCTGGTGATTACAACGTGTTTAAATTGAATGAGTTTGGTGTGCAGACCTTGATGTTTGACGTGGTTGTAATCTTCCCTTCCTGAGCTTGAAGGGATGCACAGATGTTGACACCATTGGAATATGGAATTGGATCTTTGTACATAAGCGGCTGGTCATGTGAACAGCTTGCCTCCTGGCCTGTTGCTTGGGGGCTGTTGAGACGAGTTTTCCAAGCAAACCTGTTTTGGGGAGAATGATATAGGGTGCAGTACTTTACAGTACTTGCTTGTACTAATTTGTCTGGAAAGGGCGCTTAGCGTGCGCGCTCTGCTGCTCCAAAACAGCTCAGCTTACCCCTAATCTCGCAATGCGGCCACAAAGACGTCATGTCATTCGATCTCCCGGCCAAACCCACCATTGCCATTCGGCAACTGCTCGCGCGCGGCACAGGGCCCCAAGGGAACCGGCACACTGGCGCAGCACACAGCCAGAGACGACCTAATGGGCCTGGACGTGGGGCCACGCGCCACAAACTCCGCCTCACAACGTCCCCTGGAGGCTGCAGCGTGCACGCCCACGTGGGCGGGAGGCATGTCCACTCCCATGGTCGCGGTCAGGCCTCCTGGCCGCCTGACTCGGGCCGCGCCGATCCAGGCGAGGCCCACATGGCGATCAGCCAGCCATGGGCCGATTGCCCGCTGGAGGCCGATGGATGGGATGGGGAGACGTCAGCCATCGGTGCCGCGGCGGATGGCGACGATGGCGGTGGCCGCTCCGGCGAGGCAGGCGGAGCAGCGGACGAAGGAGGCGGTCGGGGATGAGAATTTCGTGTGGAAGAAGCGCTGGTACCGGGTCACGCCGCTGAAGTGGCTGGGGGAGGCGCAGTGAGAGGGATTTGTGCAGGGGCTGCCGCAAATCCAGAGGCAAACGATCCTGGAGAGGGACATCGTGGTCTGGAAGGATGCAGAGGGGGTGTGGCGGGCGGTGGAGGATCGATGCTCGCACCGGCTTGCGGGTCTGTCGCTGGGGAGCGTCCAGAAAGATGGCACGCTGGCCTGCCGCTGTCATGGTGAGGTCCTTCCTCATGTTGTCCTCCTTACCGTGCCGTGCCTTGCCTGTGAATTTGTTTTGCTGTATGGGATAAGCTGCCGCCCCTGGCCTGCCATGGATTTAAATGGCCGACCATGACGGTGAATGGCACTGAAGTGCAGGTGACTTGTCTGCGAACGAGTGGTGTATATGCCGTTTCACACAAACTTAACAACAAGGTTTCCAAGCACATTTTCACACAAATTTTTGTACCAAGCGCTCATGGCCAGCGTTTCTTGCCACACACTCTCTTGCTTCAGATCAGGCACTCCGGCATTTGATGCTTCAGTGTGTCGTGTGGTGGGAAGGTCGCTTGATGCATTCTCGCTTCCAGTAATGGGAAATCGTCGCAGCAGTCACTGCGGATGCTTTGGCATCCTGTGATCTTGCAGTGCCATAGTACGCACCATGCAAGTGAAGCTGAAGATATAGATTTTCCTGTCGTTCAGCAGTACTCCTGAAGTGTAGTCGAGCAGGCAACAATTCGACTGCATTATTATGCTTCAATCACGCAGCAGTTGCCATACTGCTGTTGTTCACCCAGTGTTAGTCTGCATATGTAGGAGCCCCAAGCGTAGCGATGGATATGTTCATTGGTTCATGGAATATAATTGAATCTTGATCCAAGGAATGCACGGAGAAATATTGAACATTGTGCCCTGGACAAGAAAAAAATGGGCAAGGGATCATGGCAAAGGCATTCTGCAGGGAACAGCCTCTGGATTTCACAACTGTGGCACGTGTGGCAGCAACAGCTGGTGCAAAAGATTGTTGCAAATTGTAGCAGCTGCTCCTTGCCTCTCAGAGGCCATCACCCCGTTCACCCAAATGGCATGCGTCCCCACTGCTGCTTGCAGCAAGTCACCCTGTATACCTTTGGCTCTGAGAGTTGCCCTCTCCAATATTGTGTTGAGCCTGCCTCACTTCGATCTGCACATCACCATTGCTCCTGCCTGCTCCTTGAGCACCTCCGACTGTCCTGCATCTGCTGACAACCAAAACACATTCTTCCCCATAGATTAGAGTATGCAGTACCTGAGAGGTATGTCGCTATACAGCATGCATTGCGTTGGCCTGTGGGGCGAGCACTCCCATGCTATTTGGGGCGCTTAGGGGCAAATGCAAGGGAGCACTTCAAGCAAAATGGTGCAACTGGCTTCCGCTTGTCAACATGAATGTCATGAGCCCAGCCAGAGTTTGGTATGGATACTCATGGCAGGGCACAGATGCAAATGTGGTTTGGGCCCCCCACAGTGGGGAGTAGATACTTACGGGGTGGATGCTGGAGACCAGGCGATAATGTTGTGCCACTGTTAGTGGGCAGTGTGGCAATAAAACACCACTAAATTTGTTGTGCTGATTGGAAAAGTTTGATGCTGCTTGAACATGACTAGAAGTTGTCTGATTGGGCCCTTATGGGACTGGCAAGTTGTATGTTCCCCACACTCCACCTTCCCATCCCACACCCCTCACTGAGCAGCATGTGCATTTGCACAAATCCTAGCACAAATATGTGGGCTAGCCATTGCCTTCCCATTTTGATGATTGTTTCCATTTGCTCCTGTAGGCTGGTGCTTCAGTGGCTGCGGTGAGTGCACCCAGTCCCTCAGGCCACTGATGCCACCTCTGAGGCCACTGCCTGTTCCAGCAGCCGCACCAAAGTCGCAGCTTTCCCCACACTCAAGGCAGACAGCCTACTGTGAGTGTGGCCCGATGATTGCCCCACCTCCTGGGTGGACTCTGCTGCAGCAGAACCCCAAATGGGAAAATTCACCAAGCAATAACCCGAATGGATGGTTTCGGATGCTCCACTCAGCTACAAGGTCCTATTGGAAAAGCCATGGACCCGTCTCATGCCAGCCATATGCACCACGGACAAACTGCCTTTGGCGCAAAATTCCTGCCACAGTCAGACCTGGCGATCAGCAACTACAAGCAGACTCGAAAGACAAATGCTGATGGGAGTTTTGAGGTCAGTCACAGTTCTATGACAGCAGATACCCAGGTGGGAAACACAACCTTCGATTTTCAGCTCCCCATGCTGGCAACCTCAGAAACCATGATACAGGGAATATTGAGTTTCAAGCTTGGACTTCATCACATTCTGGTGTGGCCTGGTGTCAACCGAGTGATTTTTGCCACCGACTTGGAAGCCAAAGAAGACAAAGGCAAATTTGGACTCATGGCCATAAAGGCCATAAAGGCCATACAAACACTGCAGACTTTCATCAGAGAGCTGTCCCTGATGCTGTTTCCTGGGTATGTGAGGATGGCGCTGCGACATGTGTGCGGGGCTGGAGCAGTACCGAGCCGTGTGATCCAGCTCCAGCAACCTTGGTGCATTCTGAGGACACCCGGCTTGCCAGGTGCGATCATGTCGTCCTGCAACTAGCCAACTGGCTGGTGACTACACCATGTTTTGCTGCAGTGGATTCAAGCTAGCTGGCCATTGCTGTCAATGAAGTACCGTGTGATTAGCAGGTGTGCCAGAGTGAGCTGAGGGTTGAGTTGCTGCAAAACAATCAAACATAACTGCGGTGGACACATCTAGCCCCAGTCAGTAAATTAAATTCAGCTGTGGGGACACGTGGAGATGTTCTGGTGCGTATTGAACGTGCGCACTCTCTAGTTTTGGTGTTTCATGTATAGTGATTAGCAATACAGTAGTAATATTGACAATACACGTGAGGTCCAAGGCTTTGGGAGGACAGATGTACAATGCAGCACATGAGGTTGTGCACGACTGACAGTTCTGTGCCTTCAGGTCAAACGCTGTGGGGACGAGTGAGTACTACCTTGTATCCCTGTCAAACAATGGCGTTGCGACATTTCAAAAGTGGCTGTACACGCTGGCTGGTGGAGGACCCACCTGGTTCGGCGGGGGGGGGGGGCTGAAGAGGAGGTGATGGCGGACAAGCATGCAGAGGTCTACCATATGTGGAATCGCGACAGCAGGCGATGCCCAGAGTGTCGAAAGGCACTGAACCTCTTGGGAGGCCTGGAGAACCTTTTGGGGAAGGTGGTTGTGGGGCTGCTGGTTGTGGGAGTGGCTTTGGCTGCATCCAGGCGAGCGTCATCATATAGGCATGCAGGCTAACACTCAAGTGAACAATTTGAGACACCAAAATGGCCGCATGTTGAGTGCAGGCATGTATTTGGAACAGAAAACATGCTCCAAGTGTGGATTTGGAACTGGGAAACCACTGTCCTGGTCACCCAGCACCAATGGAGTAACGAATTGTGTTGTTGCTCATATGAGAATTCACTGCCATTGGTGAGTAATGCTTCCAGAAAGACGTTGATGTCAACATGATTGGCTCTTGCCATGCTCCATGGCCAATGAACATTTTGGGGGCACTTCAGCAAAGCACGCATCTGCCAGCATTGATCACTTCTTAACTCGCTGCATCTGAAATTAGGCTGATCATGGCCTGTGTTTCTCAACTGCAGGATGGCAGCTTGCGACGGTGGCCGCTGGGGCGGCACTCCTGGCCTGCCTTGAGATGCAGAAGCTCTGCAACTAGTTTGACCCAGCTCTGGCATGCTGGACTTCTCTTGTCAGTGGTCTTCTTGAGATGTTGCCATTTGGGTGCCAAGACTTGACCGAAATCTGCGTTGCCATCATGTGCACCAAACTGAGCCGTGCGTATCGGAGCATGTGCTGTGCGCTTCGCTTCCTGTATGGCTGTGTGTTCGAGAAACGGCCGTCGACTAAAGGAATCATTTTCATGAAGAGGTGGAGGCAGCCATTGTGAAGGGCAGCCATGCATGCGCACTCGACGGGCAAGGTATCACAGTCGAGGGAAATTCCTTTGGGTGAGCCACATGCTTAGACGATGGCAATCAACTTCCATTTGCCGCATGTGCAGAGATGTAGTTGATGCCCTCTCTCATTGACAAGACATCATGTGTCCAAATTGGCTGTAGAGGCAACATGATACAGGAGGAGCATCGACAGTGATCTTTGATGAGCGTCGCAGTGCATCGCTCATGAGCAGGAAACCACCGGCCGTATATTGTTGGTTTGTAGATTACTTTTTGTGACTTTGCAGTACTTTTGTAAGTATTTTTTGTACTATTTGTAGTGCATGGATAAAGTACTTTGTACATTTCTCCGATGACTATGCAGCCCATCGGCGCGTTTTCTGTGCAATGACAAGCGATCACTTTCATGAAATGCGCATGTGGGAACATTCTTCACACACAGGTCGTGCCCAAAAGTTTGACATTTGTTTTCAGCTTGCACCAAACGTGCACTACTCTTGGTGCCAATCCAATAGTATTTGTCCAACATTTACCCAAACTGCTTTGATATCAAGACAGATGAGCTTCACGCCAAGTGCACCTCTTGTGCGTCGGTCGTTCCATCTAACTCCCGATGAAGCTTCCCACAGTGAAGTTTGCAAGTGTTATTGCTCGAGAACCACCCACAATGGCACAATCGCTGAGCCAGCAGCGCGTCCTCATTTTGCACTGCAAAGGGCGGCGGTCTATCTGGCCGTTATCCCCGGAGACAGCGCAGTAAAATCACCCTGAAACGGGCAGCTGAGTCATGTTGACAGCCTCGGCACCACGTCAGCTGAGGGGTCACTGAACGACCAAACACTTGCCCCTCTCACGAACTGGTTCTTCACGATGAACTGCTTGTCGCGATGGTGACGACCAACAAAAACAGCAGCGACAGCAAGGGGAGGCTTCAAACAGGTAGCAAACGCCCCACGGCCAGTCAACCATGCAAATGCGCTTGTGCAAACTCTCACAGCTGCCGCTCGGAGCGCCTCAACCGGTCGCAACTGCTCCTCAACGGTCGACGAGGTCAAGCGGAAGCCAGGTCCACGGGTCAGGGTCGCCTTGTCCACAGCACATGGGTGTATGACACGGAAAACGCTATTCTCCAACTCGACAAGGCTGTGCAGCGACGAGACTTGGCAGGCTCTGGCTGGCAGCTAGACCACACTCGAGGTGCTCGCTTTTGAATGGCAAGGAAACGGCCAGAAAACATGGCCCAGACTGGCCGCGACCTTGAAACGTTCGAGTGCTATTGTGCTCAGGCCGTGGCGAACGTTGCGCGCACGGGGAGTCAGGCAGCCAGGCCGAACGCCTGGACCGCCGCGCGAGGCACACGAGAACACTGCACAACCGTTGTTACAGCTGCCATGCTGGGTGCAACAATCGAAACTCCCCCACGGCACTGTCCGCGCCCCTAGTACTTGCAACCTTCCTCGAGCTTAAAATAACCCCCCATATGAAACAAGTAAGAACCCAACGACCGCCACGTAGCGGCGCGCTTCTAGGGAATAGCCCGGCGGGTGGCCGGAGGGCGCGGCAGGCATCATGCAGCCGTTTTTTGAGGCCAGCTCGGTGTCGCTGCACCATTGTGCGGCATGCAAGAGTGTTTCTTGCAATGGTTTCAAAAAGTGATGCAATGTGTTTAGAGCGTTGGATTCCCAAGCACAACTGTCCAGTAATCCCTTGTGTGTCAAATGTGTCAAAAATTGAAGTGTGTAACAGACTGAAAGTGTTCCATGTGGTGAAACAGCATCTTTTGATTCCGCGGAATCTTTCCGCCACACTGCCGTGCCAACACAATTCACACCGGTGCGCCCCACTTCCCGGCCACGTAATGCCCCACGGGCCATATTCCCATTAAACAGCTACGTGGCGCCTCCATGCGCCCCTCCTGACCCCGTCTCACCGCGCCCTATGGCAGGTCGCACAGGGAGGCAAACCCCTCCATCCAAAACGACACCATCGCACATAAAATGTCATATCTTGTTCACTAAGGATACGTTTGAAGTGAAATCTCTTGCAAACGATTTCTTAGAAACACCTCTACATAACTTGGGATAGCAACAGAATGTTGCAAGTATGACTTGCAACTGATTGATCTTTTCAAATCCAGATTCGATCAACTTTCGCAAGTCCATTTTTCTGGCTGATGGCACCCAGCCTTTCATGACAAACCATCTTGCTGTGAGCCAGTGGCACGCTTCTGATAAGCTTGCATGCCACTGGACGCCAGAATGCTTCAGCGCCATGCCAGGATGGCAAATCCAGCTGCAATACATTGGCATGGATCAGCCCTGCGACCACCTGTTCCGCTCATCCACGGCGCCCGCGCTCGCTCGAACTCACGGCGCTCCGCCACGCAGCCGAATGCGCAGCTTGAAAGGCCTGACCGCTCGCCAGAAAAAACCCCAGCAACATCGACCTCGATCCGTCTTAATAGGCGATTCGGCCGTGTGTCTGCCGTCCCCCATCGGCAGCACCATAGCCAGCCACGACCATCCCGGCTCGATCAACGGGCATTGCTCGGAAAAACCAAGGCAGCCTTACTCGCCAAGCCTTGATGCGCCCCATGCGCCCGGTCTCGCATGGCTGTGTCCCTTGCCAAAGCAAAAGCACGTGCCCAACAGCGACCTGCGTGCTTCTCAGTACTTCACGATATATTCCAAATGTGTCTGACACCGGTGTGCCAGTGTGACACGCGCTGCCACGTACTGGAGCTGTGTTCGGTATCAGAACTGCATTGCTTTGGGTTCCTTGGGCATACAGTGAGGCTGTCATGGTCTTTCTTTGTCATTGAAGTCAACTCTTTGCGTTCTGAGTGCCTTGGGCTTGGATTACCCGAAAATGCTGGAGCACTCCTGATTGATGTATTGGGGTTTCTGCCTCATTGAGCGCCAACCTGCTGGACGATTAATCAGTGTGGCAAATGTGCTGAGGTTGTCGACATTCCCTCTGCATCATGTCTGGCACTCACGGGCCGCCAGCTGAGTGATATCATTACTTTAATAATTTTTTGCTGAGCCCCGTTTATTGGCGACCCGAGCAGTACTTTAGGTGTTTGCAAAAGATGGCCGTCTGACATGGCAGCCACCCGGACGTAAATCCACAAAGCGCTAAGCCTTCGCCTCTCCCGCGTTCCGTCCCGATTGGATTTGGGTCGAAGGAAACGAATCTGGGGTCGTACAGCTCACTCGCAAACACGTCGCCAGAGATTCCGCCCCGGAAAACCCGGCTGAAATGGGCCTCCGGGCCTTGCACATCCAGGCTCACGCAGAAATCCTGGACTTGGGTGATAAACACGCAGGAAGCCGCTTCGAATCTCACAGAATCGCTTGGAAACCCATGCGCTCGAACGGCGAGATGGAATGGGCACGCTCTGCCGAAATTCCGGCGCCAGAGACCTCAACCTCTTGGCCGCGAAGCCGCTCTGCTCGGGCTGTGCGCCATGGCCTGTGCACGGGTCGCGCACGTGGAGAATGCCAGCGGAGCGTTTACAACGTCTTTGCTTCACGAACGATGGTCCATTTTTCTCCGTCCTTCCGACACTGGGCACAGCGGCATGCGGCCCCCGCACAGCATGGCAGCCACTCCCCAAATTCCCTAACCACGTCAGAAGGGACAGTACAATCGAATCTTGTACAATTTCTATCAGGTCACTTCCAAACGTGGCAGTTCACATCATTGTGACTCTCCTTGCGCCCATGCTCTATTATTCGCATCACATTTGAGCATGCTTCCGCAAACCTCACATAATGCTATTCTGATCCTCACATAAGCCCTTGCAGTGCTCATATGGCCGGCCACCTGACGGTGCCGTCACTCCGCTCTTTCGTCACCTCTTCCAGTACACCGGCAGCATCACAATCGAATCTGTGCCGTGACCTGAAAAATATTCGCAGGTATATCCTTTCGCACCTATGGCTCTGCCTGCCCTTTTCCCGCACTACAATGTACTGCTCAAGAACAGCCACGCTACAAATCTGCCCATTGATCTTTCCTCATTGAATTAAGGATTGATGCACTCACCCAGCGCATCAGCAAAAACATTCTATAATTCTCATAACAAAATTCATGACAAGATTACTGACGTTTCTGTGCGCAACAGGTCGCATCCCTATTGAGCTGTCAAGCCTCACATAAACACACAAACTACATCTTCTTGATACAGAAAACTTGAAAAGAGTTGACACCACACCCGCCCTAGTCCGCCCTGAATCAATTGTGCATTGACCAACCTGAAAATCCACGTCAGATTTGGCGTTTCGGTGCACAGCAATCACTGAGAAGTCAAAACTATTTCCAGCAAGCATCTTGAGACTACCTCAATCACTTAGAGCAGGACTTCAAATCTCCGATTCGCCAAAGTATTCAGCATAAGCTCGCAGCAATTTCGACAAATGTCCAGTCGCACAATGACATTATTCACACAGATTGACCGTCATCACGCTTGAAACTTGGTAGCGTTGTCATCAATTGCGCAGATGGCCCTGCAGACGTCGTACATTTGTTGCCGAACGCATCAACACCACCCTTGGGTCGTTCCAGTTGACGACATTTGATGAAAAGCGTTGGCCGTCGTTGGCAAAGACTTCCCGTCTGGGAAGGCGTTTGGGGCGTGAAGCTTTAGCCCCACAGCGGCCCCCTGTACGCCTACGGTGGCTGCCCTGTCTCCTACTGTGAGTATTCCGGTGGCACTACAGCATCTGCCCAAATGAAGCCCATAACCTGTCCCCGTGAAGCCGTCACCGCGCTACACCACCGCACTTCCCCGCGCGTCTCACCACTCGCGTGTCCCACATGCCGCAATCCCACGCAGCCGTCGAGGCCTCCACCCTGGCCAGTGGACCCATCGGCAAAGCTTCGCCACGAGTCGCAGCCATCGCCGTTCCCACCAATTGCCATCGGTGCTCGCAGCCCCTCGATCCCGATCGCCGGTGCGAGCCAATTGACCCGCATTGCCTCTGCCGATCGGTGCACCTTCATCCTCCCGGGCCGGGAGTCCCGGCCGTGCTGCTTTGTCGGACACAGGTTTCGAGTGAGGGCGCAGCTTCGTGAGCCAAGCGCGTGTGTCCAGACGGGTGGCGCGGTGCCCAATGCGTCACGTCACTTCTGGGATGCAGCACCTCCGTTCACTAGGAAAAAAAGGGCCAAATAACACTTTTGCGAACACACATAAAACACATTTCATCAAGGTTCTGCACGCTAAGAACACAAAAATAACACAAACCCGTAAACTTTGTACACATTTGAACACGTGTTATATGGCCCTTTTTTTCCTAGTGGTTGCATCGGTATTGTGTCCAGTATCATGGCACAATTGGGCGCATATAGAGATACCCATACGTCTCGACGCATTGCCGCATCCGTATCCATATTCTCTTTGTGCTGGAGCTCGTCCCTTTGGAGGAGGCTAAGCCCTTTTTACACTTTTGTGGATTTTCGCCATTTCCTTGCCAGCTTTTGAGGCTCACAGGTCGCCAGCCTGACAAAAGTTTCACATTATATATATTGGCGACCCGAACATGTTAGGGAAGGCCCTATGTGGAAGTGGCCCGCTTAGCGTCAATTTGTCTCAAAGGGGGGGGGGCGGGCGGGTTGTGGACACGAGATGCTAAGAGATTGTGTACTGGACACAATTTCTACATGAGGTCTGAAGACACACAAAGTGCCGCTGATCCAAGGCAGACTGCTCACGACTTGCTCCAAAACCCCCTCACAAGCGTTTTAACTTGAATGAAGACCCCATAATACCGCCAATGGCCTCCCATCAGGGCTGCCCCAGTCACCTGAAATGGCATTTATCATCCCGTTTTTCAGCGCATTACAATCACTACAATTCTGGTTGTTTATTTTCCTTAAAAACATCTTGAAACTGTCTAGCTTAGTTATGCAAGGTTGCTGAGTCATCCTGGCATCGACATCAGGATTGACGCTAGTGTGGGTGATAAGATGGCGTTACAAAGCATCAAGGCGAAAACCCTCCTTTTCCACCAATTTTTCAGGCGCTATAGGAGGGATCCCCGGAACAACACAAGGCACGAAACCAGGAGAGCGCTTTGTTGGTCCACAGATCGTGCTCAGTATTCACCCAAACGCATAGAAGATCCAACAGTAAACCCTAGGGGTGGTGGTGGTCTGGGCTTAACGTCAAATTGACGCTAAGCATGTCAAAATCGACATAGCGTCTTCCCTTACCAAACCAGCAGTGTGCGACGTGGGCCAGCCCTACCAGCCGAACCCACTAGACTAATCAGCAATCCCCTCGTGCAAGTGCAGCATATGGTTGCAAGCCATGGACACGGCATGGGGGTAAAGGTGAGCCCTCTATGCTGCGCATTGCATCACGTGGGCCATAGGATTAGTAATTGGCACAGCAAAACGCAATTTGTTGGATGAACTGATGTGTTGCGCCCCCACGGCCTGCTTTCTTGACTGAGCAAGAGACTATGCAAGGATGTTCCCTTGCTCTACCAAACCACCTGGACCAGGGGCTGGAAGAGGGTAGGCCAGCCCCAAAAGCACCCTTCCACCCAACTACTAACACCCCCTAGTGCGTGGCATGCAAAACTTCTTGATGGTGACGACTGGCTGATTCTGCCGCATTCCCCGGGCCAACAGAGGGGCGCGTCCACACCACCTCCGCGCCATAAGCCCATGTGTACACTGACGTCAGCGGCGTCATGTCGTTTGACGCAACCCCAAAACCGCATCGTTGCGAGGTGGGATGCGGAGGCGCTGCCCAGCACCATAAGGTGACCGGACTGTCACACTTGCGTCACACTGCCAACGAGATTCGGTGGTGCTGAGCGCGGCCCGCGTACTTCGCCTTGCAGCGTCCTCTCTCCGGAGGAGTTTTGCGGTGTGGGCGGGCGCCATGTCCACTCCCGCGGTGGCGGTCCTGCCTCCCTGCCGCCTGGCCAGCGTCACGCCGATCCCGGCGAGGCCCACTTGGCGATCTGCCCCCGATGGTCCCATCCCACGCTGGAGACCGGTCGATAAGATTTGCCAGCGTCAGCCATTTGTGGTGCCGCGGCGGATGGCGACGGTGGCAGTGGCCGCGCCAGCGAGGCAGGTGGAGCAGCGGGAGGAGGAGGCGACAGGGGATGAGAAATTCGTGTGGGAGAAGCACTGGTACCCGATTGTGCCGCTGAAGTGGCTGGAGGAGGCCCAGGGGGAGGGTTTCGAGTCCGGGCTGCCGCAGATCCAGAGGCAGACGATCCTGGGGAGGGACATCGTGGTGTGGAAGGACGCGGAGGGGAAATGGCGGGCGGTGGAGGATCGGTGCTCGCACAGGCTCGCGGCCCTGTCGCTGGGGAGCGTGCAGAAGGACGGCACGCTGGCCTGTCGCTATCATGGTGCGGTGCTTCCTCATGTTCTCCTCCTTGCCGTGCCGTACCACCGTGTCGTGCCGCCGTGCTGCGCCGTTCTCCATACGTTTTTTTGCCGAACGGGATAGCTTGACGCTCCTCCCTTGCCTCAGATTAAGTACTGCAGTTCTGAAGTTGAAATGCCATGTGGTGGAAAGGCCATTTGATTGATACTTGCTTCCAGGCTTTGGCAATGATCAAAAACACTCCCTGTGGATGCTTTGGCGTCCTGTAATCATTGCATCGATGGTGTGCGCACCTCGGACGCGGGCCTGAAGCAAGAGTCTCCTTTGTCCCCCGCCACTGCTGCTGGAGCATCATCGACAAGACTACGACTCGACACAACTCTGTGGACCAATCATGGACTAATCATGTGCATCAACAGTCGTGTTACGCCACAATCGGGCTGGCGTGATAAGCACTGCACAGTGCTCAATATGCAACTTGAAGAAATTGACAGTGCTTGAACACCAACCGAAACTGTATGAGTGGAGTTCCTTTAGCCAGTGAGTTCCCTCTCTTCCTCTCAAAAAGCAGCTTGCGCATCTTCAGAATGTGAGCCGGCCACTACATTCCCAATCTACAACTGTTCACATCTGCCTCTGCAGGCTGGTGCTTCAATGGCCGCGGCGAGTGCACCCACATCCCCCAGGCCACCGATGGCACCTCTGAGGCCACCGCCTGCTCCAGCACCCGCTCCAAGATCTTGGCCTTTCCCACGCTCCAGGCTGGTGGCCTCCTGTGGGTGTGGCCCGATGACTCCCCCACTTCTTGGGTGGACGCTGCGGCAACGGAACCCAAGTTGGGCAAAGTCACCAGCCCAGATGTCGACTGGATGGTCACTGACATCCCAACCAGCTACATGAACTGGGTGGAAAACGCCTTTGACCCAACACACGCCGACCACGTCCACCATGGACAGAATGCCTTTGGAGTGGCGTTCAGGCGAGAGCATGCCTTCCTAGTGAAGGAGTTCAGACAGACTCGGAAGACAACTGCCGAAGGGGGGTTTACAGTCAATCACACTCCTGTGACAGCAGATACACAGGGCCAAAACACAACCGTCGATTTTCAGCCACCCACGCTGGCAGCCACAGAAGCCCTCATAAAGGGAATGGTAAACATTAACCTCAGCGTACACCACGTTCCAATGCACCCCGGCAGGACGCGGTTGCTGCTTGCCTCAAGCATGGAAGCCAAAGAAGACAAAGGGAAGGCTGTGCTCAAGGCAGTGATGGCCGTCCAGAAGCTGCAGACTTTCATCAGGGAGCTGCCCCTGATGCTGCTCCCTGGATATGTGAGGACAGGTCTACGACATGCATGTGGGGGTCAGGCAGGAGTGCCCAATGGGCTGTTGGTCCAGGACATTGCTGTGATACATTCCGAATATGTTCAGCTTGCCAGGTGGGACAATGCTATTCAGCTCATGCACCTGGCCAATTGGCCAGCATATGCAAGAAAAATGTACAGTCTTATGTTGCCCAGTGGTTACCATGAGTAAGCAATGCATGAAGTGGCTGTTGTTGCTGTTGGCACAATGCTGTGTCAAAGGTATGTATGCCTGAGTGAGTTGCGGCATACCAGATGTTGTTGTTGAAGTGGATGCTGCTGGCCCTGGTTGGGGTATCAGATTTTAAACTCGGACATACTTGAAGATTTGATGGTACCGAAAGGAGACATACACTTTCTGGTATTGATTTTCCCTGTGATATGATGGCCAACAGCGACAATGCAGTCCCGATTTTGTTAAAACGGATGTGTGTTGGGGCGTGCAAAGGCACATCACTGAACGTCCTGTGGTTTCAGGTCAAAGGCTGACTGGAAAAGTCAGTACTACCTTCCTTCCCCAGGGGACAATGGCGTGCTGATCTTTCGAAAATGGTTGCACACCCTTGCTGGTGGGGAGCCCAACTGGGTCAGGGGGGGGACAGAAGAGGATTTTAAGGCAGACAACGAGGCAGAAGTGTACAACAAGTGGAATCGCCACAGCAGACAGTGCCCACACTGCCGAAAGGCACTGAAGTTTTTGGGAGGGTTGAACAGCCTTTTGGGCAAGGCAACTGTGGGCCTGCTGGGCGTGGCAGTGGCTTTGGCTATCTTCAGGTGAGTGTTATGCAAGTGCAGTCTGGCATTCAGTTGAAAAACATGGCACATAAAACTGGACACCTGTTGTGCAGCCACGTATGCGAAGCAGGAAATTTGCTCCAAACGTGCTCGTTGAAAATGCCAAACATCTGATCGGATGTCTGACTACCAGGGGATAACCATGCGATGCTGTTGCTCATAAGCCTTTTGCCATCACTGGTGAGCGATGTCCCCAACAAAAATTCTGTGACAACATTATGTGGTCGCTTCCAAGTGTGCCCCATGCTGATGAATGATTTTGAGCAGCTCAGCACAGAACACCCAGCCTATCTGTGAGAAATAATTGCTCTTTACTCAGGGCATCCGAAATTTTGGTTCAGCGTACTTTCTTGCTCAACTGCAGGACGGCGAATCCACACATGGCGGTGGTCGCCACGGTCGCAGCTGGGATGGCGATCGTGGTGCGCCTCGAGACACAGAGACTTTGCAACAAGTTTGTCACAGACCTCCCTTACTCTGGCATGCCGGAGTTTCGCTTTGGATGGGCTTCCTGAGAGGCTGTCACTTTAGTGTTGGTTGCGCAGTTTGGCTTTGGCAGAACTTGGCTGAAAACTGCATTCCGATCATGGGCACAACTAGAGGTGTAGGTGTCAGAGCCAGTGATGCACAACTCACTATTTATGGCAGTGACTATTGTACTTCTCTGTCTCGCTTTTTCTCTTCTTTTCTTTTCGCTTTTTCGCCTTTCCTTCACGCCTTTGTTATCGATCTTTGCCCCTCACGGAATGTTGCTCTATCTATCTTCACAGATGCAATAGATCTACACATATACATACACATCATATACATACGCATCTTCATATATACTGATCTATCTTCACAGATGCGCCAATGACCTGATTGCAGCAAGGGCCATCAATGCTGCCGCAGGGTTTGCCCAGATTTTCATTGGACAGCTGGCGAAACAACGGCTTGCTGGGCTCGCTGCAGAGCCACAATGTCGGCAGTGCAAATGGTCGCAGCTTTGCCTGGTCGTGTGTTCCACCATGGAATGGTTTACCGTTGTCGGTGGCAGTTTCCACCATGGAATGGTTTACTGTTGTCGGTGGCAGTTGCCATCGTATCCATACGGTGCCAGAATTGGCGCGAGCGGCAGACATTGGTCACACGCGAAAATGCTGTTGCCTGATTATTGTACACCTGATTCTCCCATGAGATCTCATGTGCAATTCTAGAATTGCACACATGCATGGCCAGCCACGAGCAAGTGCGAGATCTGCAATTTCGATGTGTTGTACATCGCAGGAGGACGCAGTCGCAAACAGTACCTCGGGGATTGCACTGCCTTATTTAAATTTGGCGGCCGTGCACATTATTCCCTACCAAGCATCTTTGCCGGTGTATAGTTGCATATCACTAGGAAAAAGGGCCAAATAACACGTGTTCAAACGTGTACAAAGTTTACAGGTTTGTGTTGTTTCCGTGTTTTTAGCGTGCAGGACACTGATGAAATGCACATATATGTGTTCGCAAAAGGCGTTATTTGGTCATTTTTCTGCCAGTGTATCCTGAACATGGAGGGTCCATAACCAGGATATGGGGCTTTTTGTGGAAGTTCAACATAACGTACAGGGTGTGCGCGAAAACGACCCAAACTCCTGCCTGAACAAATGCCGGCCTTGAAGCGTCCATGAAGGTGGACGCAGCACCCACCATACAATGGGTTGCAAGGGTTGCATGGCCTTGGAACTAGGCGCGGAGGCATGGCTGGTGCCTCTACCTGGGAGAACCGCCGTCAACATTCACGCACCGTTATGTGTCGCCAATTCGGTGTGCAAATTTGCTAAGTTTGCAGGAGAAGCACGAATCCCTGCCAGATGCCATTTCTGCGTCAATGCACCTGCCGCGCCAACAAAATGGGCGCTATGGGTCTCCCACTGCGAGCGCCAAACATGATGAACTGTTTCATCATGTTGCCTGAGCAAGCAATGCTAAGTTTTGCAAAGCTGTGGTGCAGGCCATTGTGCAACCTTGTCTTGGTGATGCTGACGCTGGCGCAGTGCATTTTTTGTCTTTCATGGCTCATTTTTGTCATTTTATTTTGGGCATTTTCTGCCATTGTCGCCCCCTGAATGTTAATTACAATATATTTTGCATGGTACTCAGAGTACCCAAGGAGAGTCTCCTTGGATTGAAGGTCCAGACCATGTTGGTAAGTATGACCCAGTGTCAGCATGCACCGCCTCGTTTGGGTCCCATCCGTATGGATGCTAAGACCGGCTGGTGCACCGTATATACGTATATATCACCGTATATACCGGCGATGCATATATGCAGAACTTTCTTGATGAGGATGGTTGTGTGATTCCTCCGCATTTCCCCGCCCATGCAGAGGGACGTCCACACCGACGTTAGCGATTAGATTTCCATGAACTGGCCATAGACACTGCTTTGCTCGAAAAAAGTAGGAAGCTGACGGCTACCTCATTCCCTGGTTGTCTGAAAATGAATGATGATGGAAGTTGCACAGCACGGACGCGAAGGTGATTGGCCCGTCACACTTGCGTCCCGGTGGTCACGAACTCCACCTCGCACTCCGCACATCCGCTCCGTTCTCCAGCCTCACAGGAGGTTGCAGCGCGGGTGAGCGAAATGTCCACTCCAGCGGTCGCGGTCCGGTCTCCCGACCGCCTGGCCCGCGCCGCGCCGGTCCCGGCGAGGCTGCCCACGGCGATCTGCCCGTGATGGCCCCATCGCCAGCTGGAGGTCGGTCGATGGGATTTGTCAGCATCGGCCATCGGTAGTGCCGCGGCGGATGGCGACGGTGGCGGTTGGCAGCGCCGGCGAGGCAGGCGGAGCCGCGGGAAGACGAGGCGACCGGGGATGAGAAATTCGTGTGGGTGAAGCACTGGTACCCGATTATGCCAATGAAGTGGCTACAGGAGGCGCAGGGGGAGCCGTTCGAGTCCGGGCTGCCGCAGATCAAGAGGCAGGCGATCCTAGGGAGGGACATCTTGTTGTGGAAGGACGCGGAGGGGGAATGGCGGGCGGTGGAGGATCGGTGCTCGCACAGGCTGGCGGCCCTGATGATGGGAAGCGTGCAGAAAGGCGGCACGCTGGCCTGCCGCCATCACGGTGCGATGCTTCCTCGTGTTTTCCTCCCTACCGTGCCGTACTTTCTCCGTATGTTATTTCGCCGGGTGGGATAGCTTGACGCTCCTGGTCTGCCGTGCACCTAAATGGCTGACTGTGATTGATGTGCAGCAATGGCCGCCGTGGCCTGTGCGCACAACGCATGTACGGAAGAGTAGTACGTGCCACTCCACACAATTTCTGGACATTAAGAACTTAAACATGTTTCCGCACAAATATGTTCACGAGAAGCGTTTTTTGCGACACACGCTCCCTTGTTTCAGACCAAGTATTGCACATCTGAAGTTGAAATGCAATGTGGTGGAAAGGCCACTTGATTGATACTTTCTTTCAAACTTTCTTTGGTCCAATGACCAACTACACTCCCTGTAGATGCTTTGACATCCTGGAATCGTGGCAGCGATTGTGTGTGCACCGTGGAGCTGAAGTAAGAGACTCTTTTGTCCTTGACCACCACTGTTGGGGCATCATCGACAAGACTATGACTTGACACATCTCTGTTGGACCAATCATATGCATTAACAGTCGCGCTACGCCACAGTCAGGATGGCATGATAAGCACTGCGCGATAACAGCATTTGGCACTGCTTAAATACAAACCGAAACTGTATGAATGGGCTTCCTTGCGCCAGTGAGTTGCCTCTCTTCCTCTCGAAAAGCAGCTTGTGCATCTTCAGTATGTGAGCCAGCCATTGTAATCCCAATCTGACAACTGTTTGACACCTGCCCCTACAGGCTGGTGCTTCAATGGCCGCGGCGAGTGCACCAACGTCCCCCAGGCCACTTATGCCACTTCTGAGGCTGCGGCCTGCTCCAGCAGCCGCTCCAAGATCTTGGCCTTTCCCACACTCCAGGCGGGTGGCCTTCTGTGGGTGTGGCCTGATGATTCTCCCATTTCCTGGGTGGACGCTGCGGCAATCAAACCCAAGTTGGGCAAAGTCACCAGCCCAGATGTCGACTGGATGGTCACCGACGTCCCAACCGCTACAGGAACTGGGTGGAAAACGCCTTTGACCCAACGCACGTGGACCACATCCACCATGGACAGAATGCCTGTGGAGTGGCGTTCAGGCGAGAACACGCCTTCCTAGTGGACGAGTTGAAGCAGACTCGGAAAACAACTGCCGAAGGGGGGTTTGCAGTCATTCACACTCCTGTGAAAGCAGATACGCAGGGCCTGAACACAACCGTCGATTTTCATTCACCCACGCTGGCAGCCACAGAAACCCTTATGAAGGGAATCCTGAATTTAGCCTCAGATTGCATCTCGTTCCACTTCACCCCAGCAGGACCCGATGGATGATTGCAACAGGCCTCGAAGGCAAAGAAGACCAAGGGAAGGCTGTGCTTCAGGTCAGGATGGCCATCCAAAAGCTGCAGTCTTTCATCAAAGAGCTTCCCCTGATGTTGTGCCTGGATATGTGAGGACTGGTCTTATGACGTGCGTGTGGGGGTCAGGCAGGAATCCCCAATGGGCTGCTCATCCAGGACGCTGCTGTGATACATTCCGAGTAAGTCCGGCTTGCCAGGTGGGGCAATGTTAGTCGACTCATTCATCAAGTCAATCGACCTGCATATGTATGCGTACAATCTTATGTTCTCCAGTGGATGCAACGAGTAGGCTAGATGAAGCATTGCATTGGCTGCTGTTGCTGTTATCACAGTGCAGTGTCAATGGTATATATGTCTGAATGAGTTGCGGGTGGAGTTGCAAACTGCAAACTGTATGTCATTGTTGAAGTGGATGCTGCTGGCCCGGTCAGGTATTGGATTCGAAATTCTGGACATAGTTGAAAAGTTGCTGGTGCAGAATGGAGACGTGCACTTTCCAATTTTTGATTTTCCTGTGATATGATGGGCAATGGCAACAAGGTAAGTGCAGTCCAGGCCTTGTGGGGAACAGATGTGCGTTGAGGTGCACGAAACTGCATCACTGAACGTCCTGTGGCTTCAGATCAGATGCTGACTGGAAAAGTCAGTACTGCCTTGCTTCCCAATCGGACAATGGCATGCAGATCTTTCGAAACTGGCTACGCATGCTTGCCGGCGGGGAGCCCGGCTGGGCAAGCAGTGGGACAGAAGAGGATTTCAAGGCAGACAATGAGGCAGAAGTGTACAGCAAGTGGAATCGCCACTGCAGACAATGCCCACAGGGTCAAAAGGCGCTGAAGTTTTGGGGAGGGATGGACAGCGTTTTGGGGAAGGCAGCTGTGGGCCTGCTGGGCGTGGCAGTGGCTTTGGGTGTATTCAGGTGAGTGCCATGAAAGTGCAGTCTGGCATTCATTTGGAACACGCGGCAGTATTCAGGTGGGTGCCAATCGGGTGCATTCTGGCAATCATTTGGAAACGTGGCACATGCAAAGGGTGCATAAAAGGGGCAGTTGTTGCGCAGCCACATTGTGGAGCAAGAAAGTTGCGCTAAAGGCGCTTGTTGGTACAGGCAAACAACTGCTCGTGTACCAGACTACCAAGGAATAAATGTGTAGTGTTGCTGCTCATGAGCATGTCACCATCAATTATGAGCAGTGGCCCTGACAAAATTCGTGACAGCATCATGTGATCCTTTCCAAGTGTGCGCTATTGCTGATGAACGATTTTGGGCAGCTTAGGACAGAACACACAACACATCTGTGAGAAATGACCGTGCTTTGCCTAGGACATCCGAAAGTTGGTTCAGCATGCTTGTTGCTCAATTGCAGGACAGCGAATCCACACGTGGCGGTGGTCGCCTCAGTGGCTGCTGGGGTGGTGGTTCTAGTCCACCTTGTGATGCAGAGACTCTGCAACAAGCATATCACAGACCTGCAATACACCGGCATGCCAGAGGTTATCAGTGGGTGCCTTGAGACATTGTCACTTGAGTGGTGGGTGTGTAGTTTGGCTGCAGGAGAATATGACTGAAAACTGTATTTGGTGCCCATGATGGCAACGGAGGTGTACCTGTCAGAGCCAGTGAAGAGCATCTCGCTTCCTTTATGGCAGTGACCCTTGTCAGGTCGTTGACATGCACTTATCTTTCTCATTTTGTGTCTTCTGCATTTCCTTCACTCCTTTATTGTCGATCTTGCTTCTTATGGGATGCTGCCCTAGCTGGTGAAATGGGGCTGGTTTCAGGCACATTGCATTCTGGGGTTGAAGATGATGTCTGGTCATCGTTGCGGTGATGATTGCATCCAATGTGGGGCGACTCGTTTACTCATGGTGCAATGGCTTGAATCTCCAAAAGCAACTTGAATTTATCCCTGGTGTTCAAGCTCCCACGAATGAGTAGATAACTCCTTCTGGAAGTGGTGGACCAGACTGTTCAGAATGCTGGTGGCCCATTCTGCAGCCCAGGCAGTATGCTGTCATGAATGGAATGTGTATGAAGGCTGCAGCAATCCCTATGCCGCAATCTCACAGCAGCGCCGGCCTTGACATCAAGGCTTACTGTCGTGGATGCATGGGCGCTGTTGCAACGTTGTCCACCAGTGCACCAGAAACCTGGTTGTATCAAAGCCCCATCAATGCTGCCACAAGGCTTCCCCCTGTTTCCATACGGCCGCTGGCGCACAATGCCTTTTGGGACTTGCTACCGTCGTCCGTGCAAACGGTCACAGCCCGCCCAGTCATGCGTCCCACCATGGAGCGTATTGCCGCTGTCGGCGGCAATTGCCACACCGCCAACACGGCGGTGGGATTTTGGCGCGAACACCGGACGTGGTCACACCCAAGAATACTAATCAAGCATACCCAATTTTCACATGAGAACTGTACACATGTATGGCCCACCACGTGCCATTGCGAGGCCTGTACTTCCGGTATTTCCGGCGGGCCGTACATCGTCGAGCAGTCGAGTGGGAGGGACGGTCGGATGCAGAGTGTCCCGGCGACTGCACGGTCTATCTAAATTTTGTGGGCGCGCACATCCCTCCCGCACGTGGCAGGACCCGCGTCCGCCAGCACAACGGCACTGTCCCGGACGGGTCTGACGCGTCACGCCACATCAGGCGAGGCGGCCGTACATAAGGCCGTCATGCAGTGACCCCCGAGGCCCGGTCCAAGAGAGCTGCCCTGCAAAGCTGCGCCCCGGTGCAGGGGCCGAGCGGCACGTCAAATCGCCACACGGCAGGTTCGCCCATGTAGGGGCGCAATACACCCCAAACTACCCCCCGTGCGGCACCGTACGCGGCGAACCGTACTCGGCAATGGCTCGCAAACGCAATGTCAGACGCTGGCCGCGTACATGGGGGCAGATCGGCGCCGGACACAGGGGTGCCGCTGACGCACCGGCGAATCTCCACCAAACCCGCCCTGACGTGACGTTGGGAAACAAAAGTGGGGCCGACATGTGGGCCTTCAACACGCGCACACACAAGCCTGCCACCCTCGTTTCGCAATGGGCGCCGAGAACGCCGTTGGCACGGCTCGCGGCCCGGCAAAGGCCGGCCGCTTGCACGGGGCCGCCCAGCTGTGGGGTCCTGCGCGGTTTCCGGCTCCAGGGCGGGGATCCCGCGCCCGGAGGGCGATCGTCGCCGGCGCGAAGCCCTGGCGACGGGTGAGGGTGGTGCCGGGCGGCGCAGCGTCCAACGCGGTGGTCGCGCCCGGCCGGGATGTCGAGCTCGGAGAGAGGGCGGAGAAGTTTGGAGTGGACGGGGATGATGCCTTCGACTGGGCGAGGCAGTGGTACCCGGTGGCGAGCCTGCGGGCGCTGGAGGAGGCAGGCGGCGAGGGGCACCGGCGTGGCCTCCCACAGGTCCAGAGGCAGACGGTCCTGGGGAGGGACGTCGTGGTGTGGCGGGACGCGCAGGGAGCGTGGCGGGCGGCGGAGGACCGCTGCGCCCACATGCAGGCCGCCCTGTCGCTGGGCACTGTGCGTCCCGACGGCACCCTGGCATGCCAGTTCCACGGTGAGTGATCTGGGGCCGCGGGGGGGGCCGTGCCGCGGCGCGGCCGGCTTGGGATGGGCCCGGCAGCTCGCGACCAGGACCGGGGATCGGATCCCGGGCGCATGCCCCGCGCGCTGCGTCCAGCCCTGGCCCTGCGAAGCCGCGAGGGGGGCAGGGCAGTCCGCCCGCCATCTGCCAGAGATGTCACGGGGCGGGGTGGCCAGTCCCCGCGCCCCGGCGCCCGTTCCGGAGCGCCGTGGCGCCGGCTCGCGCTCCCGCAACCCGCCTTGCGCCCACCCGGCCTTATCCGCGGGCATGGCTGTACGGTGTCTTCACGCGGCTCGAGAGAACCCGCCGTTGGGGGAGGTGGGGGTTGGGCGACGGCTGCCGCGCGGCTCCAGCCATGGGCGCCTTCCGAGCTCCATTCTCGGAAGGGCGGGTGCGCCAGGGCTGGGCGCCAACCGCCAGGGCTTGAGGTTTCGGGGCCCGTCAGGTACGCGATCCGCTTGCGTCGGTACCTTGCCCGTGCTGGCGTCCGAGGTAGGCGACAGCGTCGTACCACAATCACGAGCCCCGAGGAAAGCCCGCGCGCGTAGTTTACGGCAGGGGGTCGCGTGGGCCGGCGCCCGATTTGCGCGGGGATTCGCCGTCGGGCGCTGCAGCCCAACGATAGGCGGTTGGCGTGTGCCCGCATCAGAGTGCTGGCCGCGGGCGTGTGTGTGTTGCGGGGGGCGGGGTGGGGGGGCCCGTCGCTGTCGCACTGGGCGGCCCCCTGGCCCTGAGGGGCGGGCAGATTCCGGTTCGCTGCCACACCTTTTGAGCAATCCTTGGCGGGGGAGGTGTGACACGCGGGATTGGCGTGGCAGAACGCCCGCCGCTGGGGGTCGCGGTGCGGCTCGCCCACCCGGTATCCGCTGCCCTTTAGGGGCGCCCGGGCGCGCCTGGCCGCGAGGTGTGATGGGCGGGGCGCCGCGTCAGCGGGCCAATTCAGGATCGCGGCACTTTTCGTCGACAGGCTGGATGGGCGTGGCAGAACACCCGCCGCCGGAGTGGGGGAGCAGCCACCCACCCGAAACCTGTGGCCCTTTGAGGAGAACCTTTTGGGGCGGCTGGGATTTGGCACCTGACAGATGGCGCAGCGTGCCGAATCGCGGCTTCGTAGTTTGGGCGCGCCACGGGGGCGTGGGGTACTGCGGGAGGTACGGCCGTGGGTCGACCAACGCGCGCGGTTTGATGGGTGGCTGCGAGCGAGCCGTGCGTGTAGAAGCTGCGCATGGAATGGATCGTGCGAGTGTGTGCATGGCACGCAATGCTGCTGTAGAATTGTGCCTGGAAGCTGGTGCTGCGGACTCCGGGGGGTGGACTCCGGCCAGGGCTCTCTCCGAGCTTGCAGTCCAGGCGAACAAGGGCAACTGGGCTTTGTCCGAAGATTAACTCTTGCCACAGGTCGCATTTTAAAGGGAGGTTGGTGGGGCCAGACGCGCAACACTCAGCGTCGTAGTAAACTGCCGTTGCTGGCGCTGGAAAAGAGGACGACTGTGTGGGGCTGTCCGCTCACATACGAGTTTCGGCAAAACCGCGCTCTACGTTTCTCGGGGCAAGAAATGCGAACACAACACTTGGTCTCACAGGCGGTGCCTGTGACGCAGGTTGGTGCTTTAACGGCCACGGGGAGTGCACGCACGCCCCGCAAACCACAGAAGCCGCCAGCCGCTCGGGCTCCTCCTCCAAGATTGCCGCCTTCCCCACTCTCGAGAAGCACGGCCTCCTGTGGGTATGGCCCGACGACTCCCCGTCATCCTGGATAGACTCCGCGGCCCGCGCGCCCGCCGCACACGGAGTCACCGGCGCAGACACGGAGTGGACGGTCCTGGACCTGCCGATCAGCTACGTCGCCGCCGTCAACAAGACCCTGTCCTCCACCGACTCGAACTGCGCGGAAGACAGCCAAGGCAAGCTCCTGTGTGGGCCATGGTCGTACGACAGCCAACCCGTTGCCAATTTCGTCCAAAAGGGGGACACGAGCGCCAGTAGGGGTTTCTCGCTGTCGGATGAGCCCCTACAGGGCGGTTTGGCCAATGGCCGCACCGAGATCGAGTTCAGGCCGCCCTGCCTCGTCACAACCGGCGTTTCCAACGGGGACTCTGTTCTGAACTCGGCGCTGTACCACACCCCGGTGAGCCAGGGGCGCACGCGCCTCGTCTACGGAAGGAGCGTGGAATCGGGGGTAGGCCCCGGGCGGTTTGAGTCGGAGGACGGCCTGGCGGCTCTGCGGGCCGTGGTGAGGGCCGTGGAGGCAGTACCGAACTTCGTCCGGGCCCTCCCGCTGCTGCTCCTACCGCGGTACGTCAGGGCGTCGATGGAGCACTTGCGGGCGCAGGAGGAAATCGAGGAAGGCGTGCCGGCGCCGGGTGCTGTTGAAATGCGAGGATCGAGGTGGGCGGCGGTCACTGAGCACAGGTGGCCGGTTCTTCAGCACGGGAATTGCAGTGCCTGTGCTGCCATTTTCGGCTCTGAAGGCATTTGTCTTGTGTCAACGCACATGTGCGCTACACCGGGCGGTTGAAGTGCTGAAATTCAGTGCATTTGCTGTGGCTCAATGATGAGGTTAGAAGTCGTGGTGTGTGAAGAGGTGCGCATTGAAGTGCCGTTGCGAGTGATGGGACGAATCCATCGTCTGGGGAATGTTTTTTGGGTGGCAATAGCTTGTGTGCGTTGCATTGCAGGGACAACATCAACTGGAGGCGATATCCCATTGTTCCCCCGCCCTCGGGTCTCGGTGTCGCAGCCTTTCACAGCTGGCTGAACAGATTCGCCGGCGGTGAGCCTGCGTTGTTCAGCAAAGGCAACAGCCAGGGGGCAGCGCAGATGGCGACCCACCCCAGATGGGAAAGCCACACGAAATCCTGCCCTGCATGCAGGAAAACTCTCAATTTCTTGAGAGGACTGGAGGCGTGGCTGCCAAGGGCGGGGGTGCTCCTCCTGGCTTTAACACTGTTTGCTGGCAAAGTCAGGCAAGGTCACATCAGAAAGAGCTTGTTGAGCCCGTCGTTGCGCATGCCAGTGGAGCACCCGTTGGCCAAATGTCATCCCTGTTATGCGGCGTTGTGCAGGACGGCAAATTATGTCAACACAGCTGTGTCACTGTACCATTTCGGAAGGGCTCTGGGATACCAGCTGCTTGCCCCAAAAGGTCACCAAAATGTCCTTGACATGTCATGGTGATCACTTGTTGCTGCTGTTGAGTGCCTTGACCCCATGCTGCATAGCCATGTTTATTGGCCGTTTTCAGCCAATAGTTTGCTGCAGAGTCTTTGGCTCCATTGCCCTGCACGTACTGGGCCCCGAGCAGGTGGTGGTGGCCGAATGCGAGGTTGATTGTCGGTTTGGGTTGCGGCTGATTTGAGATCGTCTTCAAGCTGAATCCGTCAATGCCAGGGCGAGGTCTCTCGTGACATGAATAAGCTTCGTTTGCACTGCCGCACACCACGGTAACGAGTCTTGTAGGCTCACAACTATTCTGCGACACGTGCATCGAGCCCATCAGATTTAAATGTTTGAGATATCCACCAACAGATACAATGTAGAACGGTTTACGCCGCTCTGTGAACTTCTTGCACGCTGCTGCTTGCAACCTTTTTCGTTGTTGCCGGTGTGCCTAACCGACTGAATTCGATTCGATCCATCAGGAGCTCCGATTTTCGACTGGTGATGCCGTTGTGGGGAGCCGCTGCTGTGGCTTTCTGGGCATTCGCGAAGGCTCAGGATCTGCGGTGCAAGCTCCTCAGGGACAACGTCGGAGCGGGCTTTGTGGAAGACAAAGGAAGGAGAGTTCGATTCTGAGTCCATATCTGCAGTGTGCAGCGGAATAAGAGGAGGCTGCCAAGCGCGCCGGAGTGCATAGGAATTGCAGCGAGCATAGATGGTTGGCTTGCAGCGGCTCTGAGGGGTTTGTAGCTGTGTTGAACACCGAAGTTGGGAACGATAGGAGGGGGGGGTGCACTGTTTGCGAATGAGACTAGGGCCGCTGCCCATTAGGGGATGATTTGTGTGCAGCGGCCAGATGCGCACATAGTTTCTAATTTGATTGTGTACATTAGGCACACGGCATTGAATGCCACGTGAGGCGCCGACATGGCCCGCACGTGTGCAGCAGTCCCCAGCTGGGAACGAAGAGACAACATTGATGTGGGAGTCCCACGTGGGACTGAGAAGTCCTAAATGAACACGCGAGAAGGCATTTGTGGGGATGATGGAATGAAAGCTTGTATCCTGGGGAACGCAAAATGGACTTTTTAGAGCACTGTGGGATGGCAACATGTAGCCCGAAAATCAACTGTGACGGCTGGGGCGTGTCTGAGGTGTCTCTTTTGTGGGGGGTTGGGCGAGGTAGGGCAGAATGTCCGCCACGTGTTTAGTAAGGCCGAGGTCGAGTAAAGGTGCCAGAAATTGCGGTCAGGTGGTCTGCATGCTAAAATGGAACAATGTCACGATAGAAGCCGTTGCCTGTCGACTAGCGGTGCGGCGAAAATGTCTAAAACTGAAACCCAACGCATGAATGTGATGTGTGCCGTATTCGATGTGAGCTTTGAGCGAGTGTTCAGCACACGTGGTGGGCGTGAACGGCCCACGGTGTGGAAAGCCACCGCCAGTGCCGTAACGATCGTGTACATGTTCATGTGTTGTCTGCTGCAACAAATTGGGTGTGCTTTTGTCAAAGTACTGGGGGGTTGCACGTGTCTGGGTCCGCGGTGTCGGAACGGGGTTCGATGGGCGTGACGATGTCTGCCAGGCAAGTGCGTCCAACCAACAAAATTTCCCCTGGTCGCTGAGAAGCAAATAAATAGGCAGTGAAATGGTTTGAAGTACGATGATCTGGCAAGGTGGGGCCATATCGTGTGCGTATCACAGCCAGGGATAGCGGGGCAAGGTTACCAGAGGTGACTGCTATCACAAGCAGTCACCTCTGTCAATGGTATCAAATTCAACTGCGATAGTTGGTGGCTATTGCAGGGCAAAAATACACAGACATCACCACCCAGAGCAGCCGAGTCAACAATTTTGACACCAAAGGACTGCGCTAGTGCTGACGGGGCGCCAGCCCCTCCCGCCCCCCAATCGCTACTGTTGCGACAATGAGGCCAGTGCCAAACGCCATCCGGGTTCCCAATGCCGTGCGCTTCTTGATTGTCGAATGCTTTCACTGCAAATTCTACAATGCAGAGGACAGTCTCCCGCCGTGCTGCCGCCACCCCCAGCAATAACAGTTACAGTGGTGGCTGCCACCAGTATTGGGCAATAATTGCAAGTCTCCCGTAGCTGTTATTGCCAGAAATATCTGGTCGCACCGATTCGTGAATAAAGTTGTCATAACGTCGGCGGCTACACGGCGAGAGACAGTCCTCTGTATTGTAGAAGTTGTCCTGGTTGTCCGCCACCCTGATTGTCGAATGCTCTCACTGGAACTTCTACAATACAGAGGATGCCAGTGGTGCTGCTGGGAACTCCACCACCGAGGCAGCGTTTGCTAATTCCGGAGGAACAGCTTGTCGAAAACACTGCGGAGGCTCGAAGCCATGGATTTGGCGATGGCATGGCCACCCGCTGAACAAATGCTCCATAGAGGAGATAACTCAACAGTGACAGATACTCGTGATCTATGCCCGTACGGATTCCATATTCATTTTGGAAAGACAGAATGGCCATTTGCTGTGCAAATATCCTACTATTTGAGACCGAAAAATCTCGCAGCGTTCCGCGCATTCTTACAGCATCATTCAAACGCTGTGCTGTCAAAACCCTCGTCAATCCCGAGCACTCTCAGTCCGGGCCAATCCAAAACTTTCGGGAGGCGTCAGTGATTGCTTTGCTTCCAGGTCGCGCCGTGATGGAGCACAGGATGTGTCAATCACTGTGGCCCTCTCTAGGCTTTTATGCCTTGGGCACAATGACCTGCAGCTGTGCAAAAGTAAACTCGTCCCTTTTCAGAGTCTCGTTTTCAGTGTTTCGCGCTGATAGGCATTCACATATTGTCTTAGCTAGGAACGGTGTCATTACCTCCTCACCTTGTAGTTTCACACAAAGTGGGAAGCTCAATACATGAGGAGCCTGCATCCGGCCGCCTAACAGCCGTAGCAAGAGTACCTCACAGTTCCGATGCATTATCATGAATTTTCTGCAGCTGAGACATGGATTTGAGTGCAGGTTCTCTCCCTCGATGGAGCGCTGTCGGCCGAAAGCTGCTGGGAAGTACTCATCTTTGGCTGCAATTCTTACTCGCTGTTCGCAAAGTGCTTCAAATGTGACGTGCGTTCTCGACGCCATTTTCCAGCTGTGGTACATGGGTCTCATTATCTCTCATCGCCGGCATTGAGTCCCACCATATCCACGATGCAGGAATGTTTCTCAGGAACTCGCCACAAGAAATTGAAATTTGCAGACCGAGACGCGTTCCCCTCTCCCACTGCCAAGGCGGAGGCGCAGCCAAGTCCATTGCCTCAGATTACATCATTGCGATTCGAGGTTAACCTAACCACAAATACACGGACGATTGCTACCACAACGGCTACGCATGGTCACAACACATGCGATTCAAAACCTTTCGTGCGCTCAACTCCGATGCAAAACAAATATCAAATTTCGTACAAAATTCATGCGTTGGGTTCAGTCCAGACCCTTTTACCGTGTCGCTAGTCGACGGGCAACAGTTCCCACGTTGCATTTCTCCATTTCTGCGTTTAGACCAATTGACCTGCGTACAATCCAACCTTGGCTGGACATTTGCCAAAATACATGCCTGGCGCTCTTCCCGACTTTACGCCAACCCTATAAAGAACACACTAGACCCACCCCAGCCGTGGTTCTTGATTTCCAGAGTACATGTTTCCATACCACATTGCTCGTGATGTCCATTTGCGCTGCCCCAGGGTACATTCTTTCATTCATTCATCACAAAAAAACGCCTTGCCGTGGCTTCATTCGAACGTCTAAGCTCCCATGTGGCCTTCCCAAACACATAACCTTACTAAAGGTAAATATCTTTTCCCGATTGAAAACTGCAGCACATGTACTCACAATGTCGGTGCCTTCAAAAAGCCTTCCGTGCCGCATTTCTAATGTACACAATCGAAACTCAAATTACTAAGCGCGTCTGGCCGCTGCCTGCAAAACATCTCCTAGTAGAAGCGTCCCTCGTCCTACTAACGAGCAGCGCAAGCTCATGCTACTCAAACGGCATGGTATCCATCTGCCATCAGCAGTGTCCAACAAAGCCACAAACCTTTCATAGCGGCTGTTTGTCAAACCACTCCGGGTCGATGCAAGCCCAAAGCAAACTGAGGCCCAGATGTTCTCCTATCTTTCAGTACTCGCTGCAAAATTGTTCAGAATCGGAATCTGCGATCATTTTCTGTAACATCACTTCCCCGGCTTTCGTGAAGGAGCCTGCAGCGCAGATTCTGCACCTCCGCGAATCCCCAAATTGCCGCACCAGCGCCCACCCACAAGCCCAGCTTCCATTGAGAACCGCAGCTCCTGGTGCACGGAAGACTGGAAGTTAGACGCATGAAGAACGAAAAGCCAAAAAATCGATGAAGAATACCAATGCAGGGGCCATCCAACGCAAGTGTTGTACATTGAGCCAGTTTATCCGTATTTGGGCCGTCCAAGTCCAGAAGCTCAGTGAACCAGCAGCGGTAGAGTTGCAGCAGCACGTCGAGCTCCATAAAGTCGGGGTTTAGGGATGCAATTGAAGGACAGTCATGTGAAATGAGACTTTCTCCTGTTGTAAACGGCTTCGGCTGCACTTGGAAACAAAGGGCCAAGCAACATGTGTTCAAACGTGTACAAAATTTACGGGTTTGGGTTATTTCCGTGTTTTTAGCGTGCAGAACGCTGATGAAGTGCATAGGTATGTATATCTGTGTTGGCAAAATGCGTTACTTGGTTCTTTTTCTGCTAGCGCTGAGGGGATATTTTCGAGAAACTCCAGAGAAGATCGACCTGACCTGGCATTCAGCTGCCACACCATATTTGCAGGCAAGTGCGTCCATTCCACCGGGATCGCTAGTGCCCCGGCGCCTGGCACAAAAGTTCGAAAAAGACACTGACATGGTTTGACACCGTTTCTGGCGCGGCATAGCAGCAGTCATTTTTGGCCAATGGGTGCTCTACTTGCCCATGCAACAGCAGCTTAGAGATGCCACTGCGACGCGACCTTGCCTGAGTGTGGCAGCGAGCAGCGTCGCAGCCAGGAAAACTGCCACAGCCTTTAGCAGCCACGTCTCCAGAGCTCTCAAATACTTGAGAGACTTTCTGCAGGCGTGGCAGGATTTCGTGTGGCTTTCCCATCTGGAGTGCATCGACCTCAGATGGGGCCCCTGGGCGTGGCCTTGACCGATCCACGTGGGTTCACCGCCAGCGAATCTGTTCAGCCAGCTGGGGGAGGTAGGGACATCGTGCCCCGAGGGCGGGGGAACAATGGGATATCGCCTCCAGTTGATGCTTTCCCTGCACATCGAGGCACACAAGTCATTGAACCCAATTGTATCCTTCCCAAGATCGTTTCCCTGCAGCACGCATAGACAGCACTTCAACGCTCAGCTCCCACATGCTGCAACTTCCAGCCACATCACTGAGCAGTCGCAACTGAACTCAGTTTCAGTAGTTCCATGGCTGGCCGAGGTGCGCACATGCATTCCAAATGGCACATGCATTTATATGCATTTACCATGGACTGCTGCAAAAATCCCGTTGTGCTTGACGATTTGCGGGGGAGTTCCTTGCTTCGATCAGCATGTAATACATTGGAATTCAAAAAAACATATGGAAGCATCCATTCAATACGGACGTCCCCCAGTTTGTGCTCACCTGGATCCCAGAATTTTGACAGCTCCCGGTGTAGCGACGCCTTGTTCGACTGGAAGCTCCGGCAGCTCCCCCTCTCCGCGCAAGTGCTCTATCGACGTCCTGACGTACCCCGGCAGGAGCAGCAGCGGGAGGGCGTTGAAGAAGCCCCATACTGCCTCCACCGCCTCCACCACGGCGCGCAAAGTCGCCATGCCGTCCTCCGAGCCAACCCCGCTCACCTGCCCCGCCGGCGCGCTTGAATCCACGCTCTTTCCAAAGATGAGTCTCGTGTGCGCCTGGTGTACCGGGGCGTGGCGGTTCGCAATAGAGCCACCCATCGGAACGCTAGCCGCGACGGTGACTGGTGGCTTGAGCTCTGTGGCGGCGCGCCCATTTGCCGAATCACCTTGGGAGACGCCGTTCGACTGTGCGAGTCCTTTGTCGGCGCTCGCGTCCCCCGTTTGGACAAAATTGGCGAGGGGCTGGGCGTCGTTCGACAAACGTGTCGGCCCGAGCGAGGCCTGGCCATCTGCGGTGGATTTTGAGCCGCTGCCGTGCAAGGCGTTGTCGACGGCGGTGAGGTAGTCGGTGGGAAGTTCCGGAGCCGCCGAGTCGCTGTCTGGGTCCGTGGCTTTGTGCACGGCGGGCATGTGTGCTGCGGAGTCTATCCAGGAGCTTGGCGAGTCGTCGGGCCACACCCACAGGAGGCCGTGCTTCTCCAGGGTGGGGAAAGCGGCGATCTTGGAGCCAGAGCCGAAGCGGCTGGCGACTTCTGGAGTTTGCGGGGCGTGGGTGCATTCCCCTCGGCCGTTGAAGCACCAACCTGGGTCACAGACACCAGCCATAGGACAAAGGGTGCAGTTCGTAGGTCTCGGCCCAGCACGAGGAATGGCAGCTTACCACGAGCAATGGCAATTCAGACGGTGCGTCTTCAGGGGACTGGGAGACTTGGCAGAATGTCCCGAGGGGCAGCGCATCGAGGCGGCCAAGTCACCGCTATGAGCAATCCGGGGGTGGGGGGCGGGGACGTTTCCCAACCGTCCTGGTGCATTTGGACTGCATACTCGGAGGTGTCCCAGGCCAGGGTCCATCACTGGACACTGCCACACTACCCTGCACCCGTATTTCCACTGATACGGAATATTGTGAATGCACTCGCATGAAACATTCCCACATGGTTCTGACGTACACATTATTAGGGAAGACACTATTTTGATTTTGGTACACTTAGAGTCAATGTGACGTTGATCTCAGACCCCCCTCCTCCCCCTCCTCTTGTTTCGATGCCAGGACGACTAAGCAACATTACCTAACAATGCCATACAACTTCAACACAATTTTAAGGGAAAAGCAGCCAAAATTGTAGCGATTGCGGTGATTTTGGAAAATGGGATACCAAATGCAATTATAGGCGATGAGAGCAGCCCAAAAGCCTGAGAATTGATCCATTCTAAGGACTACCTAGATGATTGAAAGCTTGAAGGAGGTTTTGCAACAAATTATGAGCTCTTTGCCCCTGATCAGTGTCGCCTTTGTGCATCTTCGCACCTTATTCTGACTTTAGTGCGAATACATAATCTCTTAGCGTCAATGGCTGGAACCCCAGACCTCCACCCTTTCCTTCTTTAACATCAATTTGATGTTAAGCGTAACCAAATCAAAACAGTGCCTTCCCTTACTAGCACGCAATGTAGAATATGATTCACACCACATATTTCGAACATTTACGGCTTGCTTGCGAACACTTATTTCTATGATGCTATATCTACCATGACCACATTGTGTGCTGGTTCACGCCGACAACATCAAACCCCTGTGGACTCTACTGCCTGTGTACTTTGCACTGTGTTACTTGTGCCCATTGCTGTGTACATCGCTCTGTACTCGCGGGCATGCTGTGGGCCGCGAGAGGCCTTTCCCCAGGCGTTCCAGCCACAAGCGCCGCTCGATTCGGCACGGGTGCCACATCACAGGTCTCTTTCCAATCAGCCTGGTGCATGCGGCAGCCATATCTTCGGCACCCGCTCGCTGGCCCTTACCGATCCCTTTCACCCCCAAGGGCCCGCAAAACGGTCTTTCCAAATGCGCACACGGCATACAATTGGCGCAAGGGCAGCCCCTGCCTGGGGCCGCGGGCTGACGCCGTGATATGCCCGTCCCACGTCAGGCCCCTGATGCAGGCGGCCTGACGGTCATGAAATTAGTCGCTCTGTCTTCTTCGTGTGGATCCCATCTTGTTTAGGACATCCTAAGCCCTAAACAACTGACGCATTGACTGGCATTGTCCTTGTCAGCGGAAGAAGATGAGATCCGCACCGAAAAGACAGAGGGACTAATACATTCCCGACAAAAGCGCAGGAAGATGTGACGCGGCAGCCACTACCGAGGATCTGCAGCCCGTCGAAATGTTGAGCCCATTTGGCTTCACGCCGGCAGCGGCGTGCCCCCTTTTGAGCGGTTTGGGCCCCGGCGCACCACGTGCCTGCGCAACCCCGCCCCCACACCCCAACAAACGCGGCTCGTCAGCTTGAGTTCCCCCCACCACCACCACAAATCAGACGCCCTCGCATGTGCATCCTATACACTTTGACGTAAACGTCGGGGGTGCAACTCGGGGGGCGTCGTGCGCCATGGGGGGTTTCCGGACATTCCACGGGCTTGACAGGCTCCAGAAAACCCAGCCACGGCAGCCGTCGACCTTTCCAGTCGGCACGGCGCCCCCGCTGAAGCGCTAAGGCACGAAGGGGGGCCACCGGCGCGAGCTGTGGCGCCTCAAGCGCTTCGGGCGCTCTCCGCATCCGCTCGAACCTTGGGAGGCCACCGTACAGCAAAGCCCGCAAATAGGATCTACCGACCCGCATGCGTGGTGAAACACCCTGAAAATGCTTCGGAATGCGCCCCCCAGCCGCGGTCGACCGGCCGATGGCCGCCTAGCTGGGGAAGCGGCCCGATCGTCTTCCTCCCGCGAGGATCGGCGGGGTCGCCGCTTGCGTCGACGCGACGACGTTGCGCGCTGCACACTCGCCATGTGCCCGATCTGCAGTCTCTTTCGCGCTCAAAGGCGCCCCTCCCGGCCGAGAAACGCCATGGTGCTTCCCCCCAAACGCCCCAGACCACGCACCATGGAACCGGCACGCCAGGGTGCCGTCCGGGCGCACGGTCCCCAGCGACAGCGCAGCCCGCCTATGCGCGCAGCGGTCCTCCACCGCCCGCCACGCCCCCTCGCCGTCCCTCCACACCGCGACGTCCATCCCGAGGACCACGCGCCTCTGGATCTGTGGCGGCCCGGGCTCGCCCTCCTCCCCCACCGCCTCCTCCAGCGCCTGCAAACTCGCCACCGGGTGCCACCGCCTCACAGGGTCGAGCATCCCGTCCCCACCCAAGATCTCCGCCCTCACAACATCTCGACCGAGCGCGACGACCGCGTCGGATTCCGCACCTTCCGGGACCACATTCGGCCGTCGCCGCGGCTCGGCGCCGGCTATGTTGGCCCTACGGATGCGGGATCCCCGCGAGGGAGCCGCGAACCGCGCGGGGCTCCACAGCTGCGCAGCGCCGCGCGGATGGCATGCGACTGCGGAGCCACGAGGCGTGCACATGGCGCGCGCCGCTGCTGGCGCAACGGGGCTATTTGCAACTCGAGGCCGTGCGCACAGGGCCCGCTCGCCTTTGTTGCCGAGGTCGCTTCACGGGCCAAACCGCCGGTACGTCAGCTGGCTCTCGCCCGTCCGGCAGTGGGTCCGTCTCGGTACATCACATTGAGGCGGTACGCCGAGCATGGGGCATCAGCGTTAGCTTCGACCGTGTTGATTCGTACTGCGGCCGGGCTGTGGCACCCAGTCCCCACAGTAAGGGGGTCATGTGGCTGTTTCTTTGTGGTGGCTGCGCATAGTGAGTATACGGTTGGCCGGGAGGCGGAGTGGGAGAATTCGATAGTGACTCAGAGATCAGTCAGTTGGAAGTGCGTCATGGCCCGGGCGCCACAGCGCCCCACGGGATGCGTCAGGTGGATTTTGAGCCTGGCGCCTGGCGAGGACGATTCACCGCCCCGTGGTCCCATGCCACCGGCAGCGAGTGGCTGCAAACGTGTTTGAGGAGGCGTGGGGTGTGCAGTGCATTCATTTTCTCTCCCTCGCGTCCAACACTTCAGATAGATCTCAACATCACGCATATGCCATCATAGGCCAATCATAAGTAGGATGTTCGGGGGAGAAAGTGTGATGTGTTTCTTTTTCTTTCGCTTTTCTCATCTGCGACAGGAAAGGCAGAAGAAATTTTGGGTGTTTTCGGCGAAAGTGAGCATCGAGCAATTATGGAATGTTTGGGAAATGACAGGAGGCCCAACACTTAGTGTTACAACACTAGTCTAGTGGAAATAGCCATTCCTGGGTCGCTAGGTGACAATAAATGACACCTACTGGGGCGCCACTGGGATGCATACTTCGAGCCTACCAATTCCACCAATGGTTGAGAAAGTCTCCCAGCGGGGTCTCAGGGGCGTCCTAGTATGCATCATTTATTGTCACTGGGCGTCCTAAAAATTGCCATTTCCATTAGTGCAACTTCTGGCAACGGTGGAGGGGCCTGCCGCAGGGCCCTGCGATGCCACAGGTAGGGGTTGGGGGGACATTGGCGACATTGGCTGCATTTGCCAAGCGGGTGGGAGGGAGATCACTAGCCCTGTTGGCCATGTCGGCAGGGCCTGCTGTTCCCCCATGGATGCCAGGGCTAGACCTCTGATGCTGATCCCACTGGCCACATGGAAATCAGTTGTCGTCGGTGGTGGTTGGTACCCTCCAATCGACATTGGATTCTGGTATGTGTTCGGGACACGTTTTGTTTTTGGGACATTTGAGGTGTTTGCATTATTTGCAACATTATATTACTTCCCGTTTTTTGAGGGTCAGGTTGAATAGGCACCTCCAAATGCATTTTTAGCATGTTTCCTGGGTGGGCAAATTGCAAGGTCGGATGTAATTATCAGTGGTGTAACGCATATTGCTTATCCCCAAGGATGAGAGTGCATCCGTGTAGCAGCGTTAGTGTAGTTAAAGTGTTTACGTCTAGGACGGCACAGGGTGGGAAGCGCCAAACCAGGCTGAATGGGAGACGGCACTTCTCTTAAATACTATGGGATAATTTGAACTCGGTAACGGAGTACCAGGCGTGGGGATGCACACTGATGACTGGACAACCAACTTGGACCTGGATTTTGTGTTCCGGTTTCCGGTCACAAGGGGAGGCACGCTAGTGAGCGCCATCTTTTTTGTTGCCTCACGGCAACACGGTCTACACTTGGGCACGTCGGAGACACGTTTAACTCTACAGCGCTTTGGAGCACTGTGGCTACCTCACAATTCGTTGGTGTTCCCATCGATGGCGGATCTGCAACAACTGCTGCAACGCCTAGATCGAACTGAGAGGATCCTTGCCACTGCAAACCTGCAACCGGAGGCCCCCGCCAATCTTACGCCAAAGCAGCAAGCTGCAGCGGACCATCTACTATGCCTGTGCCAGGATTTCTGTATGGAGAGCCCTCCAGCGAGCCTCAACGCCTCCGCGTCTCAAGACACGAGCACATCCCATGCTTGGATCTCAATCCTATGCCCGGTCCTGTCGGCCAATGCCACTGGGGCGAGGCTTTTGACGTTGTTGACACTGCGCAGGGACAAAAGATTCATCAGGCGCTTGGTGGAGGCAGTGGATTCTACCTAGAATTTTGCACTTGGGTCCCTGTCGTCTCCACGCTGGTCGACCTCACTGCGCACCTCTTGAAGATCACTGTGCATCCAGCCCTTTCAGGCGACGCCCAGCAGCTCTTCAGCCCCATCGCCACTGGCCTTGAGCACATCACCTGTCAAAGCGTGGGGCATCAGGACGTGCACCGTCTGCACGCCAGTTTCGTGGGCACAGACGCAGCCGGTGTTTGGAAGGTCGCCTAACTAAGCCATCGGCTGGACGCTTTGGACATGCACTTCACGTCCTCCACGGTGCGCGACGCGGTCGATCAATACCGCGAGAGCTTGAGCCAGGCAATGGAGTCCCTCTTCAAGGAACAAACCATGGCGGATGCCCGTCGTGCTGCGGATAGTGGTTTTTCCCATGGCCAAGGCTGTTCTTTCGCCGGCAGAGGCCAGGGTCGTCGCGGGCGCGGCAGTGGACTTGGCGGCCGTGACACTTTCTCAGGAGCTGGATTACTCGGATCGAGAGCAGGCCCCGCGCGTGGTGCAGGCGGCGACTTTTGAATTCGTGCTCCTTCACTTTGGTGGGAACTCGCCGATTGACAACAGTGCCTTGACTACGTTTCCAGCCTGACCCTCACAGTGACTAGACCATGCTG